AGGTCAATTAGATGAGCTGGCTGGTGGATAATGTATCATTTATTATGCATTTATTATAGGTCAATGAGATGGGGTGACTGGTGGATGAAGTATCATTTATTATGTATCTATTATAGGTCAATGAGATGGGGTGACTGGTGGATGAAGTATCATTTATTATGTATCTATTATAGGTCAATGAGATGGGGTGACTGGTGTATGAAGTATTATTTATTATGCATTTATTATAGGCTAATGAGATGGGCTGACTTGTGAATGAAGTATCATTTATTATGTATCTATTACAGGTCAATTAGATGAGCTGACTGGTGGATAATGTATCATTTATTATGCATTTATTATAGGTCAATGAGATGGGCTGACTGGAATTATGCATTTGTTATAGGTTGATGAGATTGGGTGAATGGAGTATGATTTATTATGCATTTATCATAGGTCGATGAGATGGGGTGAATGAAGTATAATTTATTATAGGTCAATGAGATGACTGACTGGTGAATGGAGTATAATTTATTATGCATTTATTATAGGTTGATGATATTAGAAGCTAGGCCTAGATGCAAGGTTAAACAATATGAAGTCATTGAAAATGGGGCAGACTACTTATTACGCCATTTTCTGATAGTCTCCAAGATAACCCATTTATAGATCTGAATATGGATTTAAATACATTTAGTTTCAATTGATGCATGTCCATTTTATTTTATTTATTTAAAATATAGTCTGGAGATGATCCAGGTGTAGATACTGTATATTCTGCATCAGCTCTGGGTTACCACTTTACCAAAAAATGTGTTTTTATTTTTAAGAATTAAATAAAATGGAGGCGCATCAGTTTGAAATTAAATAAATCTATATAAAAAATGTTTTTATTGGTATTGTCTTCTATATTAGTTGTTTTTGATCATAACTGACTTCCAAGAACATTTATCAAGTGTAATAATTGATTTGATCATTCCATGGACTGGAATTCATACATGTAACACACTAAACATTTTATAGGTGTTACATAATTTTGTTTTAAACATAGTGACCCCTTAGAATAGGCTGGGTTATGATGAAATGATGTCAGTTAATAATGACATATCATTAAACTACAATACAAATATTTTTGCAACTCAATCAAACCTGAAAAAGAAGCAATGTGAAATAAACAAAAGGACTAAAACATGAATCTATTTTTCAATGAAATCCAAAGGCCATGATAACAACTGGGAATATATATTATATCATATCTGGGGAGCAGGCAGCTAGTCTAACCCTTATTTAAATCTATGCTACCCCCCATAAATATGTGGATTAGAGACCATAAAATGTAAACATTTCCAAAATACTGAAGTGTAAACAAATGCAGTATTGTAATTTTAGTATGTAACTGTATTGTAATTGCTTTAAAATATTTTCTCAAATGCAGTTATATCACTTAAATAATTATGTATTTATTGTAATTGAATTAGGCCTAACATATTTTCTCTGAAATAAAATTAAATGGTTGGAAGTAATCATTTCAATGTATCCCTAGCATGAACATGTATCACCTACAAGTTTCATTTTATTATTCTGAAATAAAGAATTGAGATATTTATCAATTATAGACTGATAGGAGTAATTGAATATTTAAGAAACAAAATGTCAAAATTCATTAGAATAGCCAGCCACTGTTCAAAGATTCTGAGATAATCATTAAAATTAAAGGATTATCATAAAATAAAATCTGAACTGTTGGACTCTAAGACACAGGACTACACAAATGATTGTTCTTTTGACCTTGAAAAACACCAAACATTATTCTATGGTTTGAGAAAGATATAGAGTTTATTCCATGGCAAAATATGTTCCCTTGTTTGATATCAATATTCTAGTTTCATACTGAAACCCTATCTAATTGAGCAACTCTGTTGTAATCATGAAATAAATCTAGTATCCAAGGGTTGAGATACATATTGAGTTTATCCCCTGAGAAGATATGAAATAATCATTAAAATCAAAGGTTGGTCATGAAATAAAATCTGAATTAACCCTAGAAGCCCTAAGGGGGGGTCAAAATGACCCCCCCTGTTAAGTTTTTTCCCCATAACTTTTTATTGGCATCTGGTAGGGTCTTCAAATTTTCAGTAGCTGAAGCTACAGATATAAGACATGTTTTCTGAAAAAATCAGCAGAATTGTACATAGGGTTACTGATTTATTATGATGTAATCATCAGCTGCAATAAACAAAATCGGAAAAAGCTAGCACTATTTCTACCATACGTGTTATCTTTCGAATAAGATTACACAATCATTCATCATCATAGCTGTCAAAGTTTTTACACCAAGTTGTAGATAATTGAATGAAGTATATTTTGGTAAAAAATTGAACATCCTAGCTTTACTAATTTGTTATTTATTTATTATGATGTAATCATCAGCTCCAATAGACAAAATCAGAAAAAAGCTAGCACTAATTCTACCATACGTGTTGTCTTAAGAATAAAATTACGCAATCTCACATCATCGTAGTTGTTAAAACTTTTATACCAAGTTGTAGATAATTGAATGAAGTATATGTGGAAAAAGTTTGAACATCCTAGCTCTACTAATAAAAATTTTACAAGGGGGGTGCCCTTTTGACCCCCCCTTAGGTGTTCGTGTGACTATTTTTACCTTAGGGCTTCTAGGGTTAATAGACTAGAAATAGGGATGATATAAAATATTGTGAGCAAAACACTGTGATAGTTTTTAAGAAAATTGTTTCAGTGTTCATATAATCATTATAATAGTTGAATCTGTGCTTACCTTTTTGCTAATGCTCTTTCAGTCTCTCAAAATGTTATTGTAATACTATTGATGATTTAGTGAAATAAAATGCTTATATCTCAGAGTTATTATTTTATTATTAGCATCTTCAGTGATATGGATTTTTGACATGTGTCAATCAAGCAAGTTTCTACATTCTATGGGCCATTGCATTCACATGGAAAACACATTCTTACTGTTTTAAAAATACAACCCATAACAAATAGATAAATTTGTATCCATTTTAAAATCATTTTCCAGTTGAAATTGTAGACGTCTTTCATTAAATTTGATAACCTTGTCACACAGATATTCATAAAAGTAACTTCAAACTAACACCAACCCAAAATCAAGAAAATGTTTTTTTTAATTTTCGACCATGACGGACTCGATCACTCCATTCTACGACAAATCCAATGATGATGAATTGAAAAATTCGTGCTGTTAAAAATGATATGCTGAATATCAATTACGTCTAATAAATAACTTAAAAATTGGTGCATTTACCATTGCAGATGTGAAAGAATTAATCACTGGGTTAGCGTGATCGGGTCCCAATTGGGTTACAATTAATCGCAATTTTGTTAAGTTGCGATTAACAACGCGAATTTATTTTTATTTTATCGATGGTGCAAGGTATTCCCGTGAATACATCGTTGAAATTTAATTATTTTCTAGAAAAACCAAAATAATCAAGCGGTGAATTAAAACCTCTGAAGACTGCAATAAGACGTGCGATCAGACTTAATGTCGTATTGTCCGATGTCCGTATTTCTTATTTTATTTTTAGGATCTTCGGAGTTGTAGATTTTTGACATATCTCATTATCTGTCTCTGTTTATATCAAAGTTCCTGCCGCCAAATAGCCTTGGATGCAGAATTAAACAGTTCAATTATCAGAAGCTTGGTAGAACAAGATGATGCGTCCCATTTAAATTGATGAAACAATCGAGCGTAAATCGTTCGTTTTATTTAATCGTTTTTACACGTTTTATTAATAGATAACTCCCTTAAAACGTCGTTCAACATACATTAAATTAAATATCTATGTCTTCAATTACATTTAAAGCTGTTATATTTGTTTCTGTTTCGTTGCAGACGTGATAAAATTAATTATTGGGTCAAAATTAAAATTTGGTCGCGCATTTTGGTTACAATTAACCACGAGTTACAATTGACCAAGCGAATCCGATTTTGTTCAAAAAAAATATTTTAATGAAATAATATTACGAAACTGATTACATTTCCTGAATTCCCCATCCTTCCCCATCACAAAAATCTCGTCAAAACGTTTTTAAACCGAAAACTTTTCATTTAAACGAAAAATGAACAATGAATGCGATCGAACGATAGATAAATCACGACCATGATATAATCATGTCAGATCATTTTTCCGAGAGGCCCATTTTCTCTCAAAACGGGATAATTATGTACAAAGAGCGGTAAAATCGACCACTATACCAAGAAATCGCCCCCGAGGGACCTACTTATTACTTAAAATTATCGAATTTGGTGCACTTTTATGAGTCGCCATGTGGGTTACAATTAACCACATGCGCAACTTCAGTTAAGCATGACTTGACCAAAACGTCTTTATTTTGAATGAAATTCACCGTGGCGATTGTTTAGGACAAGGATACTCTACATAAAAAACATTTTTGATTTTTAATCGATATTTTTTATTTAATGCACACTTTTACCATTTTTGGTCGCAGGGGTGCAATTAGCAATGTCATTAGTCTCGCGTGAGGGGTCAGGAAAACAGAAACTTTCGCTAATTTTTAGATCTTTCTGAAGTATAGCTTTATTATACTCAAATGAAAGGCAATTAAGAGTACATTGCAAATATTGTATCTTTTTTCTGATTCAAGCCTCGTAAAATTCAAAATGGCCGTCTTATGTACGATTTCGCAATAATTTTTTGATCCCTTCAAAGTATGGCTATATTATACTCAAATTGAAGGAATTTTGGAGTAGATCACAATTATGGTATTATTTTTCAGATTTGTTCCTCAGAAAATTCAAAATGGCTACTTTGCAGGAATTCGTAATTCTAAAATCTAAATTTTTCAATTTTAACCAAAGTAATGAGTATAATTGATTGGAATTCGGTAATTGATATTTTGTTCATTGGGATTTGCTACTCCGTGGAGTTGCCATTATCTAGTTTCAGGTCGGATGCGACTTCGAGTTGGTGTGGCCCCTCTAGTAACCACTCTTAGTGATGCTTTGGAGGTCACTTGATTCAAATATTATGTTGTTGTGTTATTTAGAGAAAGATGCAAGAGAAAGAGAACTTCAACAAGCACAAGATGAATGGGATGCTGTAGAGACAATAGTACCAGGTATACATGTTTGACATTTTTTATTTATTTATTACTCAAGTTAACAATCTATCAGTAGTATTTATATACTACAGGTATATTATTAATTGACCATACTGTTTAGAGGGATAAAAACATGGGCTTTGAACGTTGAAAGCCCATGATAAAAATGACGGACCTGTACATCTGTTATGTTTTAACATTTCTTTTTACTGTTTAAGTTCATCCAACTCATGGGTTAAAGCCTTTGACAATCCTTTTGAATGTGAAAATGTTTAATTTTTATAATATTGAATTTTATTTAAAAAGTGGTGGACTTGTATGGATTCCAATGTACATTTGTAGTTTGGATGTTGATGTTTACCCTCCAATAGCGATAGTCTCTGCCAATAATTTGATGTAGTTAGAAAAAACATAATCTAATTAGTGTGTTACAATGTTTATTTATTTGTAATAGATTGAATTTTAAAATTGTTTGTTTTTGTGTTTTTAACAGCTGGTTGTACTGAAGGTAACAAGAAAAACATTTGCCATTAGTGAATCTTGTACAATGTACATATGTAGTTATTTGTAGTAACACTGTCAGTTTCCCCTTCTTCGTAGTCATGTGTCAAGTCTCTGGTCCCCTCATCCTCCTATGCAGGTGTCCAGAATCCGTACTTCCGTTTCCCCCTGCTTTAACCAATTTGGAAGCACCTGATTAAACTGAATCACGTGATCTTATTATGCGCAATGACTTATACATGATTTCTGTCGCAGTGTTGCGACAGCCAATCAGATTGCGAGTTCTTAATCGGGGAAATGCTAACTGCTTATCGTAGGGGGTAAAAAGAAAGAATATAGTCTGGATTTTGAAGCCCTGTGATCAGAGGTTGTGGTCCCCTCCACCTTTTATGTCTTATATTTAGGAGGGGAATACAGTTGATTTGTACAACTTAAATAAACCTATGCTATGTTTTAATAAATTATAGACGTGTTTTATCCTTGTGTGATACATGAGTTTTTGTAGGCAAAATATGAGTTAAATCCATCATTAACTCAAGTTCAATGCCCATTCAATCGAAAAGTTACACTCGGTGGAAGATTTGTTTAAGCCCAACTTTCTCCTAGTTCAATTTTCAACTCTTGGATGCCCTGAAACCTCCTTTTATTACTACATGTATTGTAAATGTTACATTTCTTGATTGAATGAATGCCTTTTTATGTCACCACCAAAAAGTTGTGACATATTGTTATGGTCTCCGTTTTTTGTGACGGTGGTTGGTGGTTGGCGATCGGCGGCTGTCCATCGGCGGTTGGCTTCTGTAACAAATTCTAACTTCCAATAACTTAACAAATACTGTTTAGACTGACTTCAGTTTTTTTCAAAATCATCTACCTCATCAAAAAGGCCTTTTTTCAACTTTTTCAAAATTCAGCAACTAGGTGGTGACATTTTGTCATGTTAATGCCTTTCTCTATTCTTGTTTTAGCTTGTGTATAATTTAAAAGATGTCACTAAAATCAGTTCTTTAACTTACACCTAATGTTCATCACCAATGATTGTCATAGGCAGAGAAATCCTTTGACAATGTTAAGAATTAATGAATTATAAAATACAAATGTACCATATAATGTGATCGTGTCTAACCCTTTCCACACTAACCTTTTGATTTGCAGTTTTTGCAGTCATTGATAATGATTAATGCTCCAACTTTCTAGGTATTAAATAATATTATCATGATTTGAAAATATATTGTTCTTTTTTTCAACTTGATTTTCATCTAAAAGATAACGGAAACATGGGTATGAACCAAACCTGAACATACTGTGAGCATTTTAGAATCCGTTGAGTTAAACATACCACCGGGTCCTTAATACATACTTAAAGCCCCATGCCTTAGCCATGATACACTTACCAAGCTCACAGAATCACAAGGTCTGGTTAGAACCTGTGTGGAAGGAATACATCTTTAAATCAACAAAATGTTCAAATGACACTTCATATTCAGTAATGGTTCATTTATATTGTGTGCAGGAATTAAGCAACTGTTTTGTTAGGGAGCATCTCAAAAGTTCAATGTAGGATTACCTACTGTATTTGAACAGTTAATCTATGACCCCCACACTCCCTCTCCTCTCATAACTGATGTCAGACATCGATCTTATGAAATGCTCCCTTAAACTCATTGTTGTTTGTGTTATACTTATTTTTATTTCTATGTTCTAGGAACTGGGGGTAATGGAGGAACTGTACCTCATTCACAGCCATTGATTCTCTATAACGAAGCACTGCAATTCTTTCAAACAGCAGATCTTTCAAAGTATAAGGTATGTCTATCAGTAATAGTTTAATTGATTATATGAAAGTTGTAATCAATTTTGTGTATTTCCCCTTTACTGGCAATGTCGTATATAAGTGGCCCTTTTGGAATCTAACATTGTATTAGTACATTAAAAATTGCAGGCCTCGGCATGTTTCTTTTCTCATTTTAAAAAACTGAAAATATAAGTGAAGTCAGTATTCTCTACCAAGAGCGAAAATATTTGGATAAGATACTCTTAAAGCATTGCTTGTATGAATTTCCCTTGACCACTAATAAAATTGTCACATGCTATCATAAAATGTTCACGCACATCACCCATTAGATGGTTAACAAGATGGTACAAAAGACAATTTAATCTTATTTATTCTCATATTTACTCCAGAAGGGGATCAGAACAGAGATTGAAAGGTCAGGGCTGGCCAAGATCAAGTTCATGCTGTTTGGGCCCCCTAAACTGAACAAAGCCCTCAATAATGAGAGAGACTTGGTGTTTGCCATGGCTGCATGTAAGAGTGCTTACTTTAAATACCCCCAATAACTAAAATGGAACGAGGGGTACAGCTTCATTTTGAGATACAAAACCATGTGAATTGAATTAAAGTTCATCTACCATATTCTCTGTAATGAAAACACACTGCAGATTCCAAATTGAAAAGGGATTCCAATAAGTGCACATACCAAAAAATTAGAAAAAAATATTGTGGATAAGTTTTAAAGTTGTTATCACTAAGGTTTACATACTTCACAGCTCCTGTATTTCTTTTCTGCATTACATACATGTACGATAATATAATAATATAATATAATTTGTATAATCATCAATCGATATCTTCTTGTGTAAATAATCAAACTAATGCATTAAACTTTGTGTTTTCTTACACCATATTCAACATAAAAGTTGCATGTGCGCTCATTGAAACTGTGTGCTCATCAGAGAGAATATGGTATGTGAGGAATCATTTAAGTCTCACTAACTCAATACATTCTTGTTTTAGATTAATCTATCTACAAATAAGAAATAACACCTTTGATTTCATTTTCATGTTTTAGTATATTCAATAGATTTGGTTTGATCACATATTGTTAATGTTGATATGTACTGTACTTTACGTGTAGGTGCCTTGGATAACAATGAAGCAACTCACCTCAGAATTCTACAGACGATGTACAGGAAACTAACTGGGTCTAAATTTGATTGTGCCAGGTTTGGAGATCATTGGGAAACTATAGGATTTCAAGGTAATTAAAGGTGTAGTCACACTTATTTTATTTACAGGGTGGTCCAAAAAAGTGAATCCCTGCAACAGGCTATATTTTCCTTAATACTTGCATGAAGAGGCTCATATTATCACATGTTGTAGAGACCGGTCTAAAATTTTGGTTGATGCCATAATTTATTCTCAGTCTTAAATTTTGAAGAAATTAAGATATTGTGCAAAATTTTACCAAGGTGATTCACAGAAATTGTTGAAACACATTGGATGATCTTAAAACAGCTTTCAGTTAGAGATACAAGTTTAAAACCCTACCATATGGCAAAAGGGACACTATTTAAGCAGAAAACACATTTCACACTTTCATTGATCATTTTGAAGCAGTTTTAACCATTCAACAGTTCAGGGGTACGTTACCTACACGAACAGTTAGAGGGGGGCCTCTTGTGGAAGGAAGTTGCCCCCTGTGACCAGGAATCTGAGAAACCCTTCATCCAATATACCGTATTCTCTGTAATTAGCGCCCAGGGCGTTTAGAAAATTGAAAATACATTATTTAGACCATTCTAATAAGCGCCCATGTATGAAAGAAATCAGAAATCCCGAGGAATTTCATGTAGGCAATTTTTCTTGACAAGAATGCATTTTCTTCAACATATTTTTATAATAATATGACAAGTGCTGTTATTGGAGAGAATACGGTAAAGATCGCTTAGACAATATTGACAGTGGTTGAAGACCCGTCTATGTCTAATTTATTTCCGGCACGCCCACTTTGTCATTATCGCCGATTACCTTCAATATTTCCACTAGAGACTGCTGGATATCGATCTTAAGTTATACATTATTTCTAATTTGATGAGAGATCATCATTATTCGTGCAAAAGTCGTGTAAAAGTCGAGAAACATTAAAAAGAAACCAGAAAGTTCACGACCTTGACATGCGCAGAACATCTGCGCAGTAGCTTTTGAAATTTCTGAATGCCGATAAAGAACAATTCCTTCATTCATTATGGACTATTTGGAGACAATATTAGCATGGTATGGTGTGGGAAGCACCCATCGATAGATATGTATCGAGAGGATGCATAGAATTACAAAACGGGTCGTGTTTACAGCAGTTTTAGGGTAAGTACTCTATTATCGCCCGCTCCTGGATTTTGAGAAATATTTTTTTCCTGATATATTCTTCAATTCTTGTTGATTCCTCGATGTTTCTTGAACTTTGTGAAGCGGGGTGGGCGCTTATTAGAGAGTGGGCGGTAATTACAGAGAATACGGTATTTAAAAAATCAAAAGAAAATCCAATATTCAATGTTTTGAGCCATATTTCATTAGAATTGGTCCATGATTCATCAAGATATTAACATTTCAAGATCATATAGGGGTATGTTTACGATTTCACTGGAAAATGTTTTAGTCTATGGAAGCATAGAACATTTCTTTGGATCATAATAACTTTGCAACTAACAAAGGTAGGATGCTAGTTTTAAGCCATAATGTACGGGATTCAAAATTGAACAAAGTCAGAAAATATTAGTTCTTTAAGACTGCAGGTTAAAACAATCTGAGGGGAAGGGTGTTGAAGGGTTGAAGAATCGCGGATATTGAAAATCACATTTTATCCATTTTCAGTAATATTTGATTAGGGCTTATAATTTCTGCAAATTTCAAGACTTAGAAAAATGTATGGTACCAACATAAATTTTAGACCTTCCTCTACAACATGTGAACATATGAAAGAGTTCCTGCAAGTAATAAGGGAAATATGGCCAGTGGCAAGGGTTCACTTTTTTTGGACCACCCTGTACTTTGTTGATACTTAACGTCCTAGGATGTGTTTGAACATTTTATCGGTCTTTCAATCTCTCTACATTCAAGGTATATCAATTTCTATTCTATAATGCTTGAACAAGCCTGGTGGTGCTCTGTGTTCAATCTTTTGTTTTGTGCATTTCTGGTTTATCTTTCTTGATCAAGGTTTCGTAGAACCTGTATTAGGCTTGCATCAAGCTTTTTGCCCTCTCTCAGTTTCCCATTTATGTGCAGAATTTTATTTAGTGAGAGGGAACATAATGGCTTGGCACAAGACTATACCTGTATATTATATGTACAGTTTTCATTAAATGATACTAGGCCAGAGGTCTTTGGGGTCCCTGCATTTTTTTTTTCAATTTATTTCAATTTCCTTGATATTGATATAAATACAAAAGTATGCCTTTGTTAACTTAATAACATTATCGGCATAGTACATTTTAAAAATATAACACAGGAATTTACACAATACAAAAACCACGTAGTATGTTCAGTCTGTATGTATGCTTGCTCCCCATCCCACCCATAAGGTTCCCAAAGAATTTTAGAATGTTTCACTGGTTGTTTAAAACTGTGATTGCTGTTGAGACATAGTGAGCCACGATTTCACTAATTTTGCTATTCATCACAACACTAAGGTTGGTATCCCCATACAAAAGTGTATCTGATTTCTTAGAGGTTGTTAAATTTCTGAAATCGGGCAGACATGCCAGTTCGTCGAGTCCTGCAAGAAGCAATTCCCTTTCATTTATGAGCAGTGGACATTTAATTAGAAAATGAGAAGTGGTTTGATGAGCTGCACCACATGGACATTTGGGATCATTAACTGTGGTAAAATTGTGGGCATGTAAATGGCTATTAAGCAAGAGTCCAGCTCTAAGTCTGTTGAAAGTAATTTCTGTTTGTCTTGGCATGGTGTACTCCATTTTGGATGTGGGTAAGGATGCATGGCTCCTTTGCTTCCTGACTGATCTTTTGAATCTTGAGATTGGCTGCCCAACTCGGATAATTGGGTCCCTGCATTTCTTACCAATTATAATTCAAGATTCTTAAATCTCATGTTTTGTCAGACCTTGTATGTCTTAACTGTCTAGAATCTTTATTTAGTAGGAAATTATTAATTTTATACCATTATAAAAAGATAATGTGTTATGAACAATATATACATACCTCATATTTTGAACCTTCTATGCTTTGCCTTGTAGGTCCATGAACTTTTTAACTTATGTTTACAAATAACCATATTTTTGTTTCTGCAACTATTTCTAGGTACTGACCCATCGACTGATCTGCGAGGAACAGGACTTCTAGGCTTAATGACAATATTGTACTGCCTGTCTGACTCTAAGATGCAGCCTATTATGAAAGATATTTACAAACTCTCTCTGCATGAAACTCAGGTATGTGTAATAGTTTGTAGCTTTGTTTTTATTTCACCACCAAAAAGTGGTGACATATTGCTATGGTCTCGTTTTTTTTTTGGCAGCGGTTGTTGTTTGGTGATTAGTGGTTGGTGGTTGGCGATTGGTGGGTGGCTGTTGGCATCTGCACTGTTTAGACTGATGTGTAATAGTTTATAGCTTTGTTTTTATGTCACCACCAAAAAGTGGAGTGGATTGGTTGGTGATTGGTGATTGGCGATTGGCGGTTGGTGTGTAGACTGACTTCAATTTTTTTCAAAATCATCTACAAGTTATCAGAAGTTCAAATCTGACTATATATTTAAGATTTCACCTTCAATGACCTTTTCAAGGTCAAAAAGGTCTTTTTTCAACTTGCTTCAAATATTGATCAATTTTATTTCAAAATCATCTACAAGTTCTCAAAAGTTCAAATCTGACTATAGATTTGACCTTCAATGACATTCTCAAAGTCAAAAAAGATTTGACCTTCAATGACCTTCTCAATCATTTCTTCTTAATCATTTAGAGTGAACCTTCCAGGACTTAAAAGGGCTCAGAACTTAAATCTCATCTTAAAATTCCCCAGAATTAAAATATTTTAAGATGATAACTTAAATCCATCAGTTTTGATGGTTATAAAGTGTATGTAAAAGTCATTTTTTCTTTCTTGCTTTGAAAAATGTTTTTATGAATTAGTAATTTTTTATTATTGTATAACTGTGCTAAAATATACATGTAATTTCATATAACATATCAATCTTTTGAATTGATATCCAAACTTTTATCACATGAAACATTGAGTGCACAATAAGTAATTTTACTAATCTGTATTTAATGTTGTAATGTTAATAACTATATTTCAAGAGGGGGAATATCCCAGAATTCATAGAAGAACCTATCGCCATATAAAGATGAACCTCTAGAGGTTCAATTTTACCCAATCAGCAGTTTCAATTTTGAGTGACAGTGAGAGATTCATCCATATGACATCTGGGGTATTCCCTCCTCTTCTCTAATCCTAATATAATTCTATTCTATCCATAGCCAAATGTTTGTGACAAAAACACATCCAAATAATACATGTACTTACCAGTTTCATAATTTTATAGCCATACTTAATCCAGGCTTAAAAATGTACCTGATTCCCTATCAAATTGAAATCGAAAAGGCGAGTGATCTATTTATTCATTTCTGATGCCAAAAATATTTGTTTCCTTCTATACTACACCCCCAAAATGCAATCTGATTTTCGACGCTGTTCCGGTGCCAAATTTCGGTGCCGTTTCGGCACCAAATGGACTGACTAGTCTGGTAGCAAATTTTGGTGTCCAAAGGTTTCGGTGTCGGAACGGTGTCGAAACGGCGCAGGAACAGTGCCGAATTATTTCGATGCCGAAACGGCGTCGAATTATATTGGCTGTGTAATACAACCATTTTATGAAAGGTACCTTCCCCTTCCCGGCCTAATATAAGTTAATGGTCACCCCTTAAATCCTTATGTCATACAGATTGTTAATCAGTGTGTATAATGTTGAACATATTTAAGATAAAAGATGTGAAGTATTGTAGGAAGTTAAAGTATGGCTTATATGTTACACCCTTTGCATCATGAAGTACTTTTTTCTCAATTTTAATTTTCATGAGGTTAAAGATTATGAACATTGGAATTTCACTGGTCAAGCTAACTAAGATGGCTTCTTATAGCCCACCTAACCATGGACTTTCAATAGGATTTCTATGGAATGCCCATGACCTAACCAACAGAGTTACTTTCAGGAAAAGGTGACACATTTTCATTTACTTGTCCCCTAAGTACTTGTACATGTACAGTATATGTTGGCTCAACCACCCATGTTTTGCCTCTTAGTCTCTCCCTCCTCTTCCACCTGCTCCTCCATCTTCAGGTTGTGTGGGTATTCCAACGCCTTCTTCTTCTTCGCTCTGGGTTTCTCCAGGGACCATAAGGTTAGCAACTGTGGTTTCAATCATGGTTGTATAAGCTGTTGAGAAATCCTGGATCCACATTTCATTGTTGTTGGCATACTGTCTTACAAGGTCAATGGTAAAGGAATCCGCGCATGAGAAATAGTTGCACTCTGATTGGCCAGTTGGTGTGACAATGATGTGTTTGACGAGGCACATATCTGAGTTGAGCATCATTGGACCATTGCCTGCAGCTTGACGTCGCCGACGACCCTGGGGAGGTGGACGAGGATTTCCTGGAATCCATTGCCACCTAGCTTCCTCATTGGCTGGTGCAATGTTGATCTGGATCCAGTTCCGGTTCAACAGATCACGGAAGTAGGCATTATCGAGAAGATCAGCATTTCCTACCCATGGGCCATTAAACCCAGAGTCCCCTGATCGAGCCCTGCCCAGAGTATGTGCACCTAGTAATGCAACCGATCCAGTCTCATCTAAACCAAATGCATCATCAAAAAAGTCCAGTACGTCATTGAGTGTACCATGACCACCATTGTTAGGGAACATTCTTATTTCAGCAGTATTTGGTGATGTTTCACAATCTTGACGGCCAATGCGAAATTGTATGTCAGGGTACACTGGGTTACACCCCTGTGGGACACATGCTTCTGCTGCACGTCTTAATGCTTCTAAACCAGCAAGCTGCCAGAAATCTGCCCTGGATATGAGGTTTGCATAGGGTGCATAGACAGGCTCAAGGTCATTGATGTAGATTTGCAGGCCTGCATTATCGGAGTTCGCAAGATTGACACATCTGAAATAACACAATTTTGAAATATTATTGGACTTAATTTAGCAATGCAATATTTGTTTCTGTATCTTGAGCAATTGAAACTTCTTTTCTATAAGTAGATCACAATATAATATTATTAATAATCAAGTTAAATGATGATAGAAGAACAGTACTGTGTGACATTTTGTCATATTAATGAAGTATTATATTCATACTATCACTCCAAACAGACTCAATACGAGGTCTTGTTTATTTAAAATAAAATATCTCCTTACCCATCACAACCTCCTACACAGTCGTGAAATGCTAATCTGACTAGTCCACCAATGCGTGGGTGATCATTGTTCACCACTTTGGCTTCAATGTGCTCTTCAAGGGCACTTCGCATCTGTAAAATCTCATCAATGGTGAGATTTGGTTGTTCGTCATTAACTTGAGGTTGAGCGCTATCAGATTCACTTGGGCCACTGGCCTGGTTACCATTTGGAGGTTGTTGGTTACCATTTGAAGCTGGTTGGTTACCATTTGAAGCTTGTTGATTACCATTTGAAGCTTGTTGATTACCCATTGAAGCTGGTTGGTTACCATTTGAAGGTCGTGGACCACTAGGGCCACGAGATTGCTTAGCTTGTCCTGCTCCTAATGCCATCAACAAGCAAGCCAAATGTAAGACTCTCATGTTGGTTTATGGTAGCGCAATTCTGGAATAAAATATTTCAAGATTTTGAAAGTAGTTTGTACTTATACAATGCATAATATCACAAATGGGTACATTAACTACCATGTACATGTACACTGTATCTGCTACCTTGGTAAGACACAAGAGTCAGATTCTGAACTTTTCCGTAAATTTCTGTCATAAATAATTTACGATAGGACAACTATACGGAAAATGTTTAAAACCAATTCTGAATTATTCCTTAAACTTGTCCCCATCTTCTGTGTTTATGTCGCAAACTAGAGCGATTTGGACAATGATCTTTAAAACACCTGTGTGCGCGTATCGAGATTGCTCCATTGAACTCGTCCAGTGTATTTAATGAGGGGCCCACCTTAATTATCCCAACGAACGAAGTTCGGTAGGGATATAGTGAAGCCCTCCGTCCGTCAGTCCGTCAGTCAGTCCGTCCGTCCGTCCGTCCGTCCGTAAGATAACTCAAATACGAGTTGACGGATTTTCTTCATATTTAGTGGAAAGATGTATATTGGTGAATAGTTGTACGCAAGATGGCCGCCGCTTTAAAAATGACGGGACTTTTTCGCAAAAACCATAAATTTTTCATTCTAAACCAAAGTAATTCATATTATTGTTTGAAATTTTGGTAGTATATTCGCAACATCTATCTATTTCACATATATTCCGTGTTTTTCATCCTGACCCCCAGGGGCCGTGTATGGGGGGTCAGGAAAAAAGTAATTTTCGCTAATTTTTAGATCTTTCTGAAGTATGGCTTTATTATACTCAAATGAAAGGCAATTAAGAGTAGATTGCAAATATTGTATCTTTTTTCTGATTCGAGCCTCGTAAAATTCAAAATGGCCGTCTAATGTACAATTTCGCAATAATTTTTCGATCCCTTCAAAGTATGGCTATATTATACTCAGTGGAGTGGATCACAATTATGGTATTATTCTTCAGATTTGTACCTCAGAAAATTCAAAATGGCTGCTTTGCAGGAATTCGCAATTCTAAAATCTAAATTCTTCAATTTTAACCAAAGAAATGAGTATAATTGATTGGAATTCGGTAATTGATATTTTGTTCGTTGGGATTTGCTACTCCGCGGAGTTGCCATTGTCTAGTTCAATTACAATTAAATTCCTGTTTTTGGGCTTATTATTATCATAAATATATGTATAGGCTATTTGTATAAATACTGCAAATCGATTGCAATATGATAGAATGCTTATTTTACCCAAGTTAGAGTTAATTTTGTATATAAATGTGAAATAATTTGGGGAATCTACTAACAGTTTGGGGGTTTCTCCAAATTTATCGTCGTTAGGGAAATGATGTCACATTACACAAGAGCGAGCTACGAGTATTACGTCATCAATATGCGCTGGATGATATGGAGACATTCATTGTGACATTTGTTTTGGGGAATTCCTAACAATGGCCAAATACTTTCACTTTCTTTATTAGAGCAGTTTCACATTTGATTAGATAGCGAAAGCATATTTATTGCATTTAATTGATGAAAATAAATCTAATTGATGATATTCTTAAAAAACTCATTTTTATTAAGCCCTTGATAGTTATATGCATCCTTTAACAATTGAATTTACGATACACAAAAGTTCAGAATCAGACTCCAGTATGGTCAATTAAGTATTATGTGGGGAAGGTATATAGTAATCACGACTTGTATATAGCAATGTGCCAAAACATAAAATCATGCTATTCTTCATAGGGAGTCCAGAATCATGTTTCGTTAATGGACTCTTAGCAGGGGTTCATTCCTAAAAGTGGACTAGTGTAATTTATTTGTCACAATTGAAATGAGCAAATAAACTCCCTTTTATTGTTGAATCCAATGAAAATAAGAAACATATTTGAATAATATACACAGCTGAAGAACCTGCTTGACCATAGAGTAATACAGTAAAACCTATATACTAGTGAACACCTATGGAGCCACACAAGTGTTCACTGTATTTAGGTGTTCACTACAGAAAGGTGATTTTATACAGGAGTCAATGTAAAATGTGGTGTTCACTTAACACAGGTATTCACTAGAGAGGTGTTCACTAAGACAGGTTTTACTGTACTTGTAATAATGTTTTGGCCATGTCAACCTAAGATTGAGACTGAAAGGCTATATAATTTGTAAATTGTGTTTTCAAATGTTAAAGATGACACCAGTAATTGATTCAAGAACCAGAGATATGATTAAGAAAATATGAATTAATTGTGATGCCCTTATTGTAACCAGGACCTCATTTATATTATATATTATTAAGATTATTTATATGTCAAACAAATGGCATTTTCCATAAATGGGCAAAAAGGCGGAGTTGACACTCTCCTTAAAGTGTGCGCCTGACCCAGCTAGTATAGCACAGAGTTTATACTGGCGGATTAGACTAGTTCATTTTTTATATGTGTGTGAAAGCTTTCTCTTATTTGCGTTTTTTCGTTTAGTACGGTTCTGTTATAATTGCCGATGTCATATAACCGGGATAAAACAATGATTATCGTTGACTGCCCACACACAAAACATACGTTGAGTGAACAGTGTTATTACAAACAACATGCTTTAGAATACAAAGCGTAGTGTGATAATAAGCTGTACACTACCACTGCTGCATGTACATATTACTAATTTACTAGGGCTCCCAAAGAGTGGATAGGGAGGTTGTGTTTGTCACTTTTAAATTTTACATTTCAAAATTGTCATTTTACATGTCATAATTTGTTGGTTTCATTCGTTTAGCCAATCAAAACATTGTAAAACAATAAATTGTCTGTTACGTACAATCAATTTTGTTCAGTTTTGATTAGTTGTCAGAATAAAGTTACGTTCATCTGAATCCATGTATCAAAACAAAAATCCTATTTTCACTTCAAAATACTTCAGCGAGATGAAGGCTCGGAATTGTTACATGCAATAACTTATTGTCGTATTCGTTATTTTATCTTCTCGATAGTAGCATTTAGTCGCACATTTGATGCAAGGTCACCTTGTTACGTACCTCTTGGGGAACCCCACATTTATGTGTGTACTCATGGAAGTAAATTCCCCGGTGTAGCCGAGAGCCACAAACTTTTCAACAGGTTGGAAATGACCAATTTCTCTCATATATACTCTAAATATTTTATTATTTAGCACCTACAAAGTATTGCTAATAACCATATGTAATTTCAATAAGGAAACTTATCTGGCTACATGTAAATTCAATATCAACACTAGCTGTTCTCTCAACACGTCCTGGCTTACCTTGTGGTGACAAACCCTGGATTTTCGCTATTTATAGTTTATCAACACCTGGACGCATGCGCATTTTATAGTTTATCCGGCACTTTAATGGCCAAAAAGGGGAGTTTAACTATATAGGCAAACAATTTGCAGGATTCTTCGAGAAAATCATGTGAATTAAGGCCGTTGCTTGATTTTGCTCAGTTGCTCCAGGCAACTCACAAGACTTCGCCTCCTTATCTAATCAGCAGTTTCAATTTTGAGTGACATTGCATAATATACTGTTGATGCGTCAATTGTATTGAAAGTGAAAGAAGATTTAGAGAGCTGCAAGCTGCAGCTACCACAGATAAAGCAATGGCAATTTTGATTATTAATTCAATTTTTCAAACTCAGGTCTTAGAAGTTTTTTTTATGTATACCTTAACAATGAAGTATTTGGATCCATGACAGTGGATTGAATTACAACAGGTGAACTGCATTTACAGATTTTAATAAAACATTAAACTTTGATTTAAATGACTCCTACCAACATAATTTAGTAAAATTATGGTCAAATATACCCCTGTAAATATATGCTCTTTCATTACTGTTTGGTACAATATCTGCAGATACTGTTTCAAAATAGTTCACAAAGTATATATTTTAATGAGTACTCAATAATGTGCTTTGGTGAGCAATGACAAATTTAACATCCACGTTTATTATTTAAACCTCAGGAATAAGACAATAATATAAATTAAAAAGTAAAATAATTGATTACCTTTTTTTGCACTTCTTTGTGTCTTGTTGTTTGTGTTGAGACTGCATTAAGATTATGATCACTTGTACCTATTATACCTAATAAGCCATTAGGTAATAAGCCATTAGGTAATAACCGTGACATGCATTACTGTCTATATATAGGCTTTACCAGGGCTTATGTTTACCATGGAACATTAAGGGATCATCTCAACATTTTACATTAAATTCTATACATGATCTATTTCCAAGACTGCCACATGACAAACGCATACATGTAATGGAAGCATGGTATGTTTTTGTTTGAAGGATTGCTAAAACTGGTTTTCACAGTAGAGGTCCTAAATCGGATTGTGCTTTTCAACAGGTGAGCCCAAAAAATTCTGAATCATTGCCTGGCAAAAGGTTTTGAACTTCATAATGTTATTAAAGGTGATTAGTTCAACTATTGTTTCATTGACCAGTGGTCACCTGTTGATGGGTCAATTGTATTGAAAGTGAAAGAAGATTGATTTAGAGGCTCCCCTTTAGAGAGCTGCAAGCTACAGCTAGCACAGATAAAGCAATGGCCATTTTGATTATTAATTCAATTTGGCAAATGAATTAATAGCAAGTTGTTTTATTTTATATTATTTATGTTTTCTTGTTTTTTAATAACTTATTAATTTTATTATAATTCACTATGTTGGCTTCTGCAACTAGAACACTTCAGAGTCCCATGACCTATTGACTTAATTTATGTAATGAAACACCTTCCAAATGGAACAGGTTTCAGAGGTATCAAAGGTGTTCCACAATTCACACCTTTTACTCTAATACTGTTCTAGTCCCTTAGCTACAATCATAAGTCTATTGTTAGAACCTCAACATTTGACATGATCATGTCATAGTAAGATGACAATTGACTTAAGAATTATTGGTTTATGGGTATGGATATTAATAATACTTTGTTATATTAATCTGTACTTCCAGAACTTTCCATTTTCCGTGATGGGGATCAATGTGACGAGAATTGTTCTTCAGTCATTGAGGGAAGGAATACTCAACAAGTAAGGAAAGAATGAATGCTAAGTACTACCCATTGGCAACAATAGCACCAATGGAACCTAAATTCTGATTTATACAAGCCCAAGTAGCCATTACAATATCTGCTTTTACAATGAAACACTTTTGCAATATCAATGATTTTTGGTTCACATGGTGTGCCAACTGCCAATGGAATTACTAACTCGTAATAATAATCATTATCAATATTAAGAATGGCAGGAGAACAAATTGATTGTACTGCCATCTTTGTTTAAAAATGATTTCTATTCACCTTTAGTCTGTTGTAATAATCATTTAATTGACCTTTTGCGATCAGAATTCAGGAATTTTGTTTATGGATACTGTTGTCATGTATTTCGTCTTATTGGTGTGACATCATATAGAAATGATATTAGACATGATGGAATCACGAAATGGTGGACACTTGGCAGTTTTGAGCTAAAAATATTGTCGTTTCTTTTATGAAAACCATGGGTCGGATATTTACCAGGTATGCCGATTTGACTAGATCATGATTATTACTATATATGTGCGAAGTTTGAGTGAAATTCATACTAAACATCGATGCCTATAAGCGCCCCCCGTTTTTGTCAAAATCGGGGGGCGCTTAACCGCTATCTAAATCATGTCAGTGAGATCTTAGACTTGGTATGTGCTTAGCATGAATGTTGATCTAGTCAAATCGAGCGCTTTCAAGAAAAATAAATCAATAAAGCACGAAATATAGCAGAGAATCTCTCAAAATCAAACATCTAGAGCTAGGTGGCCTAATTGTGACGTCACTACAAGATAGAATCCATTCGGTGATCGCAAATCATCAATTGTTTCAACGACTTGTTATATTGTATTGTTATAATGATGCTGTTTATTTACCAGAGAATGCAATAGAAGACAGCAGGTGCTTGAGGTGGTGAATGATCTGTATGCTGGTACATACCTTTATCTCTATCAAATATGGAAGTCACAACACAAGACTATAGCAGACTCAGGCTTCGTCATTAAAGGTAAATAGTGAACGAGCGAGTACAAAAATTGAATACTTGAAAATTGAAAATTTGATTTGTTGTTTGCTAAAAAAGGTACCATGACATCCTATTGATAAAAGTTTGGAGGATGGAGGAAGTGAAAAGTTACAAGTTATCTGGTATGGCAGCCATTTTGAAAAGGAAATTCCATTTTGTATTTGATTCACTTTATACATGGCAAACATCTTATTATGTCACCACCAAAAGTGGTGACATCAAAAGTGGTGACATATTGTTATGGTCTCCGTTTTTTTTGCGACGGCGGTTGGCGTCCGGCGGTTGGTGGTTGGCGTCCGGCGGTTGGCGTCCGGCGTCTGTAACAATTTCTTACAACTTCCTATAACTTAACAAATACTGTTTAGACTGACTTCAATTTTTTTCTAAATCATCTACATGTTCTCAGAAGTTCAAATCTGACTTTAGATTTGACATTTGACCTTCAATGACCTTCTCAAAGTCAAAAAGGTCTTTTTTCAACTTGCTTCACATTGACTAAATTTTTTTTCAAAATCATCTACATGTTCTCAGAAATTCAAATCTGACTTTAGATTTGACATTTGACCTTCAAATCTGACTTTAGATTTGACATTTGACCTTCAATGACCTTCTCAAGGTCAAAAAGGTCTGTTTTCAACTTGCTTCAAATTGACTAAATTTTTTTTTCAAAATCATCTACGTGTTCTCAGAAATTCAAATCTGACTTAAGATTTGACTTAAGATTTGACATTTGACCTTCTCAAGGTCAAAAAAGGTCAAAAAGGTCTGTTTTCAACTTGCTTCAAATTGACTAAAAAAAATTTTCAAAATCATCTATGTGTTCTCAGAAATTCAAATCTGACTTTAGATTTAACTTAAGATTTGACATTTGACCTTCAATGACCTTCTCAAAGTCAAAAAAGGTCAAAAAGGTCTTTTTTCAACTTGCTTCAAATTGACTAAATTTTTTTTTCAAAATCATCTACATGTTCTCAGAAATTCAAATCTGACTTTAGATTTGACATTTGACCTTCAATGACCTTCTCAAGGTCAAAAAAGGTCTGTTTTCAACTTGCCCAAAAATTGACTAAATTTTTTTTTCAAAATCATCTACGTGTTCTCAGAAATTCAAATCTGACTTAAGATTTGACTTAAGATTTGACATTTGACCTTCAATGACCTTCTCAAGGTCAAAAAGGTCTGTTTTCAACTTGCTTCAAATTGACTAGAAAAAATTTTCAAAATCATCTTCGTGTTCTCAGAAATTCAAATCTGACTTTAGATTTGACTTAAGATTTGACATTTGACCTTCAATGACCTTCTCAAAGTCAAAAAAGGTCAAAAAGGTCTTTTTTCAACTTGCTTCAAATTGACTAAAAAAATTTTTCAAAATCATCTACATGTTCTCAGAAATTCAAATCTGACTTTAGATTTGACATTTGACCTTCTCAAGGTCAAAAAAGGTCTGTTTTCAACTTGCTTCAAATTGACTAAAATCTTTTTTCAAAATCATCCACATGTTCTCAGAAATTCAAATCTGACTTTAGATTTGACATTTGACCTTCAATGACCTTCTCAATGTCAAAAAAGGTCAAAAAGGTATTTTTTCATCTTGCTTCAAATTGACTAAATTTTTTTTCAAAATCATCTACATGTTCTCAGAAATTCAAATCTGACTTTAGATTTGACATTTGACCTTTAATGACCTTCTCAAGGTCAAAAAAGGTCAAAAAGGTCTGTTTTCAACTTGCTTCAAATTGACTTAATTTTTTTTTCAAAATCATCTACATGTTCTTAGAAATTCAAATCTGACTTTAGATTTGACATTTGACCTTCAATGACCTTCTCAAGGTCAAAAAAGGTCTGTTTTCAACTTGCTTCAAATTGACTAAATTTTTTTTTCAAAATCATCTACGTGTTCTCAGAAATTCAAATCTGACTTAAGATTTGACTTAAGATTTGACATTTGACCTTCAATGACCTTCCCAAGGTCAAAAAAGGTCTGTTTTCAACTTGCTTCAAATTGACTAGAAAAAATTTTCAAAATCATCTTCGTGTTCTCAGAAATTCAAATCTGACTTTAGATTTGACTTAAGATTTGACATTTGACCTTCAATGACCTTCTCAAAGTCAAAAAAGGTCAAAAAGGTCTTTTTTCAACTTGCTTCAAATTGACTAAAAAATTTTTTCAAAATCATCTACATGTTCTCAGAAATTCAAATCTGACTTTAGATTTGACATTTGACCTTCTCAAGGTCAAAAAAGGTCTGTTTTCAACTTGCTTCAAATTGACTAAAATCTTTTTTCAAAATCATCCACATGTTCTCAGAAATTCAAATCTGACTTTAGATTTGACATTTGACCTTCAATGACCTTCTCAATGTCAAAAAAGGTCAAAAAGGTATTTTTTCATCTTGCTTCAAATTGACTAAATTTTTTTTCAAAATCATCTACATGTTCTCAGAAATTCAAATCTGACTTTAGATTTGACATTTGACCTTTAATGACCTTCTCAAGGTCAAAAAAGGTCAAAAAGGTCTGTTTTCAACTTGCTTCAAATTGACTTAATTTTTTTTTCAAAATCATCTACATGTTCTTAGAAATTCAAATCTGACTTTAGATTTGACATTTGACCTTCAATGACCTTCTCAAGGTCAAAAAAGGTCTGTTTTCAACTTGCTTCAAATTGACTAAATTTTTTTTTCAAAATCATCTACGTGTTCTCAGAAATTCAAATCTGACTTAAGATTTGACTTAAGATTTGACATTTGACCTTCAATGACCTTCTCAAGGTCAAAAAAGGTCTGTTTTCAACTTGCTTCAAATTGACTAAAAAAAATTTTCAAAATCATCTTCGTGTTCTCAGAAATTCAAATCTGACTTTAGATTTGACTTAAGATTTGATATTTGACCTTCAATGACCTTCTCAAAGTCAAAAAAGGTCAAAAAGGTCTTTTTTCAACTTGCTTCAAATTGACTAAAAAAAATTTTCAAAATCATCTACATGTTCTCAGAAATTCAAATCTGACTTTAGATTTGACATGTGACCTTTAATGACCTTCTCAAGGTCAAAAAAAGGTCAAAAAGGTCTGTTTTCAACTTGCTTCAAATTGACCACATTTTTTTTTCAAAATCATCTACATCTTTTCAGAAGTTCAAATTTGACTTTACAAGTTCTCAGAAATTCAAATCTGACTTATATTAAGTTTGAACTCATAATATTGTGAGCAACTAGGTGGTGACATTTTGTCATGTTAATGCCTTGTCTTTAAATTATCGTTGTCTTATATGATCCAATTATATGATTATTAATAACTACTAGAATAGTATTGATTACTATTAAAGTTCTCCTTGCTGTTTGTTTTGTACAAGTAAATGTTTATTCTAATCCATTTTAAATTTTGCAGATGTTGAAGCATTTGTGAAGAAAAATCCTTTAAGAATTATGAAAAACTTGGAAATTTACATAGAGGAGCGCAGGAATATACCATCACAAGATTCAACTAATGTTGCACATGGAAACAAAAATCTCAAAACTGAAGAACTAGTTTTCAAAGATGTTTGTGCCACCTGAGAACCTAAGCTAATTGTCTCTTTTGTCATTTGATTATGTTCCACATATAATGTCATGATCAAGTAAAACTGAAGAGAAACCAGGGTTCGAAACTCACAACTGCCTGACTGCCTGTGGAAATCATTTTATCGTTCTTGGCATTCAATTTGGAAAAATGAGTTGCTTATTTGCCAGGGGACTGTTTGCCAATATGACCACAGAATTGTAGCAATCATGTTTTCAACCTTAAATGTGAACCCTGAGAGAAAGATGTATTATTTTGTCTCCAGTTTGAAAGCGTATACATTGTACATGCTGTCAAGTTGTCTGGTTCAATTACAACTAATAAAGAATGTAACTATCTGGTGAACCAGACAACTTGACACATGCATATTCATTGATCCAATGGTGATCGGGGAGATATACTTAAAATAAACTGACTTATTACTGGAGAAATCATTTAATTCACCAAATAAAACAATGTTTCCCTATGTTCCTCCATTCGGAAGTATGGAGGCATGTGTGTGAACTATTAATATAGTCTTAATATAATAATGTAAACATTGATGCACTCTTCAAATGTATCTTTGGAAAATGTGTATAGAAATGAGCAGAATGGCGCCAGGCTTTAAATTATGACAAATATTCATTTATATGAAATTGTTAAACACACCTAAAAGATTGTTCTGAATGTTTTAATGTAGTTCAGAAAATTCAGATCATATTGTATACATCTTGATTCCACAGACTAGTGTTGTACCAATTCAGTCTATTATTGTACCAATTTATGGTCCTCAAATTAGCAATTATAGCATCCAGAATTATACAAGTGATCATATTTGTTGTATTTTATCAAAGTAATGTTGTTAGTGAAGTAATCTCAACTTACTGTTAGTCTATGTGTATGTGGCTGATGTAGCAGTGAAGCTATGCAGAAGGATGGCTTAATAGTCTTATTTATTATTATCAACTTGCATTTTCTTCGTAGAATTTCAAGTTGATGTATTTGTGCCAACTAGATTATAAAGTATATAAAAAGTGCAGATGTTAATCCCATACTCGAACATGTTCAGAGGGACATATATTATATTAGTGGGATAATCCCAATATCCTGAACCTCATATATGATAATCTATACCTATACTGTATACTAGTATACGAGGGTATATCATAAAGTTCTCATAATATCTCTCTAATTTTTTTATTTTTCAATATATCCTGATGCATTTTTCACACAATGTGTAATATAGAATGCTGTATTAATCTATCAAAAAATATTTGGTATAACTGAAATATTATTTAAGAAATGGTTGCCATAGTAACTGGAAATCAAGGCACCCGGGGCAAATAAAAAATTGTGCAGGAATAGCCCCAACTAACCATGTTAAAATGCATAATAAGTTATCAAATAAGCTATGAAACACATCAAACTGTTACATACCATGTATTCTTGACTGTTTTAAACTATTATAATGGTCATGTGAATTGTGTGATCTCATAATGGATGATTGTAATGCTTCATTAGAAGTGATGTTAGACACTACAACTGTTTTGTCAAATATTTCAAGGAAAGTCAATTTTCCACTTTAGTTCATCTTAAATGAATAATAGACCACTATAGGGTGTAATTATGTTGATATATTTAAACCATATTTGTTTTAGATCATCTTTAATATGAGCAAAGGATTTTTCGAACTAAACTAAACTTTTATCAGTGGGAATATTATTTTCTGATGATCTATGCATCTATGCATTATCTTACTCAGTCATTTCTGATCATTAAGCTTTGATTCTCAGAGTCTGGTATCACATCTAATGAAGCATGTAAGCATCCCCCATGACACCACACAATCCACATGATCAATTTATTTTATAGTAGAAGCATTTAACAACATATTCAAGTTAACATTTTAATGTGTTTGGTAATTTATGAGAGTTTATTATGTATGTAAACAAGGTTAATTAAGCTCATTCTCTCAATTATTTTTATTTGCCCCGGGTGCCTTGATTTCCGGTTACTATGGTAATCATTATTTATGTAATATATCTGTTATACCAACTATTTTTTGATAGATTTATACATTATTCTATACTGCAGATTCTATGAAAATTTCATTAGAATATATTGAAAAATAAAAAAATTAGAGAGATATTATGAGAACTTTATGATATACCCTCGTATATTGTAAACATTTATTGTTTATATATTTTGCCCTTTGTATTTCAAGAAGAGACAACAAGAGACCATGAAAATATTTACTGAATGTTGTAAAGATGTCACTTCTAGTCTTTCATCAAGTGAAGCCTCCTATTTCCCTACATTGTTTAGGGGAATATTTTTGAAGGGAAGTGTACCTAGCTTTGATGCAAAACTAGCAGCTACATACTTTGAGCCTGTACATATGCTGGGGTCAGACTTTTGTCTGAAATTGTTCTTGTCAAAAAGTTTCATTTTTTCACAAAAGCAATTAGATAACGTTTTTTGCCTCAGTATATTTTACATAATAGTTTTGAATTGCATATTGCTTTAGCCTGAAGATATATAAATGTTAGTATACAAATGTGAATATAATCCATGACACTACAATAATAGTTATGGATGTATTGTTTCTAAAGTATTGCTCTCAATTATTCAGATATTTTTGCTTTTAGCAAAATAGTATATTTTTAGTTTTATTTCAATATCATTAGATGCCTTATGAATGCTTAATCATTAGGAAAGAAAGGGCCTTAAGCTAAGATGTGGAAACTGCTTCCATCATACGTGTGCCATTGTGAATACATGATCACGCTTACACTCTGAATAGTTTTAATGTCATCACCAGAAGTGGTGTTCGTGGGTTGGTGGTTGGTGTTTGGCGGTCAGCATCTGTAACAAATGGCAGGTGGTGACATTTTGTCATATGAATATTCACTCATAACTAGGCATGCATTTTCTGCCCAATCAGAGTGAAGCATAGCGATCTGAAGTGCTAAGGTTATAAGAAAAATACTATTGAAATCTTATCAACTTATATAATGGTAAGATGATTGAAATAGTATAAGGGCATTCTCCAAGTATTGCTAATATTTTTCGCAATTCTGTTCTTTCAATGCATTCTGCAGAAATGTCTTGACAATCAGCTTAGTATTAATAGTTACGGTTACCATGGTATCCATTGTTTTGGGTCTCTGGGTTGTAAATGTTTAATGAAGAAGCAATAGCAATATTTATTGAATGCTTAGTGTCACATGTGTAATGGTTGTGCACATTTCCATAGATATTTGGTTAATCTGTCCTGCTAAAAGTCTGGATTTGGCAATTTCTAGGCTGACTTAGGAATTTCATGTTCAAGAAAAAGATCATTAGCCTAGATGGTGTTCATAATTTAAGTTAAGCATTTTTGATATTTTACATTCTAGTAAGTAGGACTAAAAATGAATAAAAAAATGTATTTATTGAATTTCAGCTCTCTGATCAGATGGGCCTGTAATGCATGTACTAGTTAGAAGAAATGTTGATCTATATTGTACATGTATGTATATTCTATTTATATTTTTCGCCTATATGAACTTGTATTTAGTTAACTGGGCTACATATTTCATTGTGATATCTACATATATAAAAATAAATCAAATCTCAATAAAATCAATGAATATAGTAATATAATTTTTAATCTTTGTGTGTAATCCACCAAGTTTTTTAAGAAACATTTCGTTACTTCCAGATTTTTTCCAGATTTATGAAACAGTAAACTTCTAAGGTTTAGGAAAAGAAATCCACCAATGCAATTTTTCATCATAAAAAATAAATAAAGCAGAATTCAGTTCTTTAAATATTTTTTTATTTACATATTCTTAAGATTCATACATTTTTATACAGTAAGTAACTAACATAATATTTTACTGTATAACACGACTAGAATTCTACTCTTTCCCAAACCTCGATTGTAATCATATAAATGATTATTTGGAATGTGAATTATTATTATGACAGTATTGAACATAAACAGCTGATAGCCACATGTATGATCGACACAATTAATTTTGTTGAAGAATGTGTTGAAAAATCTATAAACCCTAAATGTGTGAATTCTACGGTAAGGTTGATCATGGAATTGAAGAAATGGATTGGAATGTCCCATTGAATCTATGGTCTCACCCATTTTATCCACCAGGTGAACAGATATTAATCTCTGGACAGATATCGCAATATTAATTTGTTGAGTCATCTAAAAAACTGAGAAAATTATTGATAGCTTGTATTTGATTCCTTTCTCAAAATGTATGTTTACTATGTTTAACATGTGTGTCAAGATGAAATCTAGCACAAATCACTGGGAATTAGATTAGCTTTTATGTGGAAATATTACTGAGATAAGGATGACTGAGTGATCTAAATTGAGAATTTTCCATATCCACAAATTGGTTTAAAACAAAACAAAACTGGGTGAGACCAATTTCGTAAAAGATTCCTATCCATTCCTTCTTGACCATTGGTTGATGAACTTCATAAGCTGATTTTGAATTTTGGTTTTATTGTTTTAGCTTTTTTTCCCAAAGATGTTTATGTATCAACCTTTGCATTGCTGCATTGTAAATATGTGGTGGTCAGTTAGCTCAAAAAATTGTTTCTCTGGTTATATTGCAACCATAACATGTTAAAACTAAGTACATGAATCTTGTAAGGGTTAACATAAAGTTTACATTAAACATTACTAATATCAGTCATATTTGTCTAACAAAATTCAACAAGTATTACTTTTCTACCTCACACAGTTTTGCATCAAGCCCCTGTGTTCTTAACCTCAATACTTAAGGAAGGTGTCCAAATGTCAACAGCTGTGGAAAAACTTTTAATTTGAAATGTTGATTTGTCTTTTACTTGAATATAAAAAATCAACTCTATTTGCAAACCTAACCATCATTTACCCCCTCCCCATAAATATCTAACTTTCGTTATCACACAGGTGTTGATATCGGACACCATCCCTTGTACTGTGAATCCTTTGGAAAAAGGGGACAGAATATTCCATGCAAAATTCTGTAAATGCTATCAACAAAGTTTTAAGGACATGAATATGGTGATTTAGAGAACCAGAATATACTTGACAACGGCCTTTGTAACAAGGTATATAATACATTTTACTAATTATTTGGTTATTTGTTATCTATCATAAGACACAACTCTTGAAGAATGTAATATTAGGAAAGATGAAATTGTACATTTATAACTATCTAGTACATGATACCACTTAATACATTGTTCATTAAGTACATTCTGTGTAACTGCATCATTGTACAAGTTGCTATGAACATCTTGAGTCATGGCAACAAAATTCTACATTCTTGATTTGACCTGGAATTAAAATTATTTTACACAATATATTCAGCAATAACTAAAAGTCTAATATAAAGGAACTATAAAGTAGTAATCCACACGCAATCTTAATGAACAACCCCTGAGTGGAATGTTTTAAATTTTGATTGTTGATAATGTAAAATATGTCCTGGTGATTAAAGGTAAACAGGTTCAGTTCAACAAAACAATTTTAGTATGTAGCAATTTAGTAAAAATGGAGAGCATTTTGCAAATTGGTAAAACTTTTAAATCAATGGAGTTATCTTGAGCCCCTACGCAAAGGTAATGTGACTTCCTAAACATGAACAAAGCACTGAGTATTTAATCTATTATGCTTAATTGCTTAATGCAAAGAAAACATTGATTATTGTTGACACCAAAATTGTAAATGGGATTCTTTTTCAAATACATGCAACTCCAGTTTACTACGAGGTGAAAATTTTGAAATTATCAATGTATTTTGAAAGTGGTGATTTTTTGAAAAAATGTGAAAATGAGAAAATACAATTCTTCATTATTATAGTATAAAATATTTAATCAATTTAATTGAAGAATTAGCATGCAATATAAGAAAATGCCACAGTTGGCCACAGTTGTAAATACACAAATTAACAAATGCATATTTTGCATATATGGCACTGAATTTCAGTTTGCTACATTAAACTACAGATGTACTAGGTTACTTGACTTCTCTTTTTAAAGATGGTGACTAAGCAACAACAGATATTTTGCATTCTTTTTACTAACTCTGGTGATTCTACAAAACAGTATAATGCAGTGTCAAGCAAGCTTTTGTACCTACATGTAAGGTGCTTGAATTAGCTGCCACTAATAAGCTGTTCAATTCAACAAAATCTTTCTAATGTATATCTTGGTCATAATACATTCTAAAACATTGAATCATCCTATTCCTAAATATTTTTTACATTGTTGTAAAGAGTACAGGAAATGTCAGTATGCAGTCTCCTTTTCATATGATTTATCAGCCTTTGCTAAATATGTGCTATAATGAGGATAATTATATGGTAATACTAAGAAGCCATATCATGTTGAAATTATCATCTCTTATATCCTCACCACTAGGTGAATATGAATAAGCAAGAGAAGTGGCAGTTGTTGTATATGTCCTTGATGATAAATTGCATACACTCTCACACACAAGAACAAACAAAAACAATTGAAGAAACATAGAAAAGGATCTGTTAGTTCTACAGCAATGAAAAAAGATGTACTATATAGATTAAGCAAGATCTAAAATTTACAAAAAATCTCTGTGGGAAATTAGTAATTTATCAATTTTATATTCATTTAATATTATTCATTACTAATATAAGAAATAAAGCTAGCACTCAGCATATAATGAAATATATGGATATGAGATGCAATCATTGATGCCTTTTATTATAACACATATTGTGAAATATGATATCTTAAAATGTAGATCATATAAATTAGAATAAGAACACAAATCATGCAAGCTAACAAGATTACAAAAGCAAAATATGGAGGGACTGAGAGAGGTGAAGCTACTGAGTCTAATAACATCTAAAAGCAGCAAGTTTGATTCTGATTTTCTAGAAACTAACTTTATTAGTGTAAATATTAAAATTCTGAAGATGCGCACCACCTTTATCGATAAAGAGTACCAGTGACAAGACTACAGTGTTCTATCAGTCTATCAATGCACTGAAAAGTTCAGTTTGCAAATGTATATATTACCACAGTAATATATTTATTTACATATATTCTTAAAACCCAAAATTTAAAAGTAAATGGTGTGAAAAAAGCGGATCCCAATACCAAAGAGCATAGCAGGAAGATAGTAAAGTGTTTACAAAGTTGAGTTAAGGAAATACTCCGGAATGATATTTTACTTCAACAACTTGAAGTTAAATTCAAACATCATTGAACTTCAGACATTTTACATGCAAAATATTTGGCAAAAGTTCATTGAAGTTACAGGTATGCAAACATAGAAAATTAGTAGATGGTAAACAAGGACACATACAATATTGCCCTTTGGTTGTTTCAGTATTGATAAAGGGGCTTGCATCCCAGGATGGCACTTACGCTATTGAATACTACATTTTTCTGTTACTTCGCCTGCTTTGGCTGCAACTTGACCAGGAATGTCCTTTACTTTATCAGTGTATTCACGCATACCGGCAGGGATGATGGACTCTAAGGGAGAGGCAAAAATAACACCAACATTTAATCATGTGTTATAAATATAACTACCTTATCATTTTAATAACTGTTCCATTTGTTTGTTATCATATTTCTTACCAATATCAATCAAATAATTTTTTGAAGCACTGATGCTCTAGAAGTCCTTGAATGAGAACTAGCGCTAACACTAGTAATGCAAGTTATCCAAATCTAATGTATTATTTGATGGGATAAAATCATAAGATATCCAATATACCCTGACATTATGCCCTCAGAGATTCAATATCTCCACTTTCTCATTGTTTATTTTGATATTTATTATATACCCGTAGTATATAGATGGATTTGGCAATGCTGTTAAGTTCTTTCAGTTTTTTGCAAGCATTTCAAACAAAATTATTAGAAATTGATTGAAATAAAATTGCTCAAATGAACTTGCACCAACTTTAATATAAAATGCAGAAGCTGCACTGTTTTTATGAATGTTTGCTTCCCTGATTTCTACATTCCTGTACATACAATATGCATTTACATTGTCCTTCTAATAAGTCACCTGCCGTGTCTGAAACACATGGCCCATATGGCTTGTCTTATTATACAAAGTTCATACAACAACAAAGTGATGAAAATTTCTTTTCAAATTCATCATCTGAGTCATATTTCGCTTCCGCTGCTAACTCAGCGGGAGTTTTCCTTTTACGTCCTATTTGGCCTGCGCTACTTTCTTCAGGAAGGCCAAATGGATTGTTGGGGTCTTTTTTCTTCAACCCATACTGAAACATATGATAAAACAGTCAAATGAAACAATACTAATATTGGTATACCTTCTTCAGCAAGTTCTGCTTCAGCTGCTAGCTCAGCTGGAGTTTTCTTTTTACGGCCAACAGAGCCAGCTGCCGATTCTTCCGGAAGGCCGAATGGGTTATTTGGATCCTTTTTCTTAAGTCCATACTGGATAAGCAGCAGTATACAGAGATATCTATATCAATACCTATATACATGTATAAGATATCAAGTTTGATACATATGTAATGTAATTACACATGCTGTTCAATTATAAACAAACAATTGGTAATACTTAAACAGATATACATATTATTTATGATTTTAAGATTGGTAAAACTTTCCACAAAAAGGTCTTATTGTTGAATTAATTTACATTCACATTAAGAATAGATTGATCTACAGTACATGATTACACTTTGTCTGGGTGATATCATTTTTCTCATGTTCTATTCACGTGAAAGTGATGAATACACAATGTAAACAGGCATGGTGCACATTTAATACAGTATGCACTGGCGGATCTGGGGCCCAGGTCCCCTCCCCTTGGAGAGGCCCATAAAAAATTGGGCCCAAAAAAGGCCTTAAGTCTCCAAAAAGTGGGCCTTCTTGGCTATTATTAGACCTTTTAAGGCCTTGTATTTTAATTTTGGGACAAATTTTAAAGAAAATGGGCCTCAAAAAGATTTTCTGCTCAAGCGCGGACATTTTAGCAGACCAGTGATTTGCTCCCCCCCTTGTTGGTTCCCAGATCCGCCCCTGGTATGAGGTTATTCAGCTGCTGATATTAATATCATATTGAAATTATCACTGATGCCTCAACATTGCAAAGAGTATTGATACTGCCACATTCTATTGTAGTTTATAATTATACTCTATGCTCTGCATTGTTATACAACACTGCTATTGTTCTCTGTTCTTTCTCAGCTGTACCATTATCATAATTATGCAATTTTTTGTATTAAACATCAGTCATAACCAAGCCAAATGGAATACACTGTATTGGAATCTATGTTAAATCACAAACTCTATATGTTAATTGATTAATCTAAGTCATGCTTGTCATTATGATCTATAGCGACTGAACAACCATAGCAGTAAGCGGCCTTAATTCTATTTTCTTGCACTAACATGTTGGCCTAAGTATAATTGAGTTAGTATACCATGCTGCAACTATATAAAACGAGTACATGTACATTACAATCTCCAGTAAATAAGAATGGTCATCTAAATGTCCAAGTGCCCAATTAGTCATCGGGTCAATAGACTTCTATTCTAATTGTAGGAGATTTGGCATCTATTAGAACTACAGTTGCCAGTTGCAAAGGCCTGAAAGTGTTTCATGGAAAGTTTCAAGTAGGGTGAGGGAGAGATATTCAGTTTATGTTTGATCAGTTGACAAGCTGATTATATGCATCATGTGTCTAGTGGGCATTTCATCACCGAGTTTTAAATCTCAATTATTGCTATATATACTTAACCTTGTATGTCCAGTGATGCTCGATCATGCCATTTACTAGATACAGGGCTGTCAACTTGGGACCACCTAATATGAGTGACTTCAAAATGTTGGACACCTAAGTCCAAATCTGAACACTTTTGTCCAAATTTTGAACACCTTTGGCCAACTTTTAAACACCTTTGGCCAAAGTTTGAGCACCTTTGCCAAACTTTGATCACCTCAAATTTTTCGCGCTCGCTACGCTCGCGGTGTCGTCAATGGGGGGGGGGGGGGGGGGGGGGGGGGGGGGAAGGGGGGGGTAGGTACGAAAATTTCCAATGGACATGCGTGACATATACGGGATTCGCGTGACAAATCCGAACAAATTGCGTTCGGTTTTTTTCCGACGTTCGTATTTTTACCGTATCGTAAACATATTTCGAAAAATTTTCTACAGAAATATTTTAGCGTGACAATTACCAGTTAAAATGCGTATTTGCGTGACATTTTCTGTCACGCAAAAAAAACTGGCGTGACTTCAAATTCTTCAGCAAATGCGTGACAAATACGCAAATTGCGGGACAGTTGACAGGCCTGTAGATACCAAAAAGCAAATATATTTGTAATGGCTTCTAGCAATGTCATGTTTATCTTAGAAAAAATGACAGTTTGTCATTGAAAAACAGAAGAGAAAATGGGACAGGGGATACAAGTTAGTGGACTGGCTATACCTAATTGAAGCTGTCGGCATGTGCATACTAGACAGAGTGATACATGGCTCAGATGGAGTAAGGACTTATGCCAAAATGTGCTCATATTGCTCAATATACAATATTGTCATAGTTAAGTTATATTTGTTCAATTATTGGCCAGATCTGTTTGGTTTATTCATGTGGTCAATAATTCATTATATTGGAATGATCAGTGTATCATAGACTGTGAGCAAAGATTGACATAATGCTCCCTAAGATAGATTATGGAAGATTTGCAGTCAAGTAGGATGTGTTGTTAGGTGTGCTGCCATCTGACATCTACAATACAAACACAAATAGCAGTTCAGGTATATAGTTTTGAGCAGTCGATCTAGGGCTAGGCACTATTGCACGACACTGTCAAACCTGGGTTTCCAACCTTATCACGAATACCCTGGCGCATTTCTTCCCTTTCTTCTTCCATTTTGCGGTGTTTCTCCTTTCTGCGTTCTTCTGCTTCCAGTCGTGCCTGGACAACTTCTGGATCCTCTTCCTTGGCCACATCATCATCTTCTTTCTTATCATCACCTCCTATGACACCTGCAGTTGCACACACTTATGATTACACACACATAACAAATATAATAGAGTACCACATCTGCAGTTTTGATATTTCCATCTATTTTCAGGGAACTGTTTTTGAATATGTGAATATGGAAGCTCAATAATAGATAACAACATATTCCTCAAAGAGGGATCGATGAAATTCATCAATTTCATGCACTTCACTTGAAGTTTCAGATTTATGTGACTATCTGAATTCAGTTGGAATAAGATGGAAATGTTTGATACTGCAGTGTAGTGGTACTGTTGTACAAACACCAAACAAACCTTATCTCTAATTTCTTGTCTCATGGTTTCACGTTCTTCCTCCATTTTACGATGTTTCTCTTTTCTACGTTCTTCAGCTTCTCGTCTTGCTTCAGCAATTTCAGGATCTTCGACACCATCCCCCTCACCACCATCATCATCCTTTTTATCATCTCCACCAATTGCACCTATATCGTCATCATGCAGTTAACTCAACACTGACATCTCAAACATTTAAAACCACTTGACGAGATACTACATTATTTTTTTTACTTATAAAATAAATCTTTATGGATCCATACATATGTATAGTTTATGTGACTTTATCTTTAATTATATTTTACAGTGTTACAATAGGTATAGCTAATCTGTTCAGTGTTATACCTAACGGATTTGGCACTAGACTCATCATCTTGATAAACTAAATGCTGGAATACATATAAATATTTTGATTTATATTCATACTCCTCCTGCATGCCTTATTCAGGTATATACTTTTCTTTTGCGGTATTAATCTTGCTCATTGGCTGATGAAGGAGTATGGATATACAACATAATGATACACATGTACATAATTGATTTTAATCAGTTTTTCTGTTCTTAATGTCCAATACAAATGCATTACTATACATTGTGGTGTTGTATTCAATAAGTATGAAATTGAAAGAATTTAATTTAAATATAATATTTGAATACTTTTTGTTCTTTATTCATTGTATGCATGAACAAGTTATTTGAGTTGTGGTGTGTTCCTTTCTATACAGTCATGCAATTAGTATTGCCTAATTCTAAAAATAACTACATAAATATATGCAATCCATGCGTTATGACAAGCTTGCAATAAGTGTGCATATCTGGTGGAGGGAGTATTCCTTGTTTAATTTGTGTTAAACTACCTTTACTTTTTGAGACACCTGTTCACAGTTCCTGATTGCAATAGACTGATAAAGAGAACAATTCACACCACTTGATCGATAGAAGAATCCGCAAATTACCTTCGTATGATCACAATACTTTCAATTTCAACTTTCAATACACATTATATAGCCATACTTTATATCAGCCTTACCTTTAACAGATTTAAGTTGGTTGCCAACCAGTTGCTTGGCAACGAAGGATGCCATGACTACCTGAGTGGAGGCTGAATGATGCAGTTAACAGTAACTGATCGTAGGTGATGATACTATAGGTACTGTTGTGAGATGTTTGACAATGCTACATGTATTTGGCCTCTTCAGTCTGTGGAATTCACACGGCCACTACACAAACAAACAAGAATACAATAGACTATCAAACTGAAAGAATGACTTAAAGAGCTCAACAGGCGACAGCTATTCCGGCCCTTGATTACTACTGCATCCTGGGTACTAGACTATGTGGTTAACCCCTACAACTCAATCAGGTTAAGTATATTGACAACATCGTGAATTGGTATCCATGGTAACTGCTGGCATGATTAAATGCCTTGGAAACATGCCAGCAATAGTTAATTACTTTGTCCTAATGACAACACAGTGGAAACTATTACCATGGAAACCATAATATATCACTGGACAGAGACACAGACAACAAACATACTGACAATCCTATGAGAGATCCTTACCCTTGACTGAATTTAGCTTGTCTCCTACCACTTGTTTTGCGATGAAAGATGCCATGTTTGAATAATATCCTCCAAGTGACCAACTTAGCTCTGTGAAGGAAAATGGTAAGTAAATGATTGACACAATGGGAATGGGGGAATATTGTTCTGACCGTCCGCTCCACCAAATAGACTAAAAATCTAGATGAAGCTGAAATAAAATGTGTAAAATGGGCATCCGTGATGAGGTGATGCAAATATAGAATAACAAAGGAACTGGTGATAAAATAACGCAAAATAGCAACCATTGTTTCGTTTAGATTTATAACTTATATTATATGCTGCAAATTACAAACAAGTAATATATTAAAGCATTTTGAAGTTTCTGTGCAGTGTTTTCACCTTCTAAATTATCCATGCATTTTTCATATTTGCTAATTTTGCTTTTCATCGTTAATTGCCGTAAAATAACGCCGTTAATGAAATCAAAATATGTAGTAAAACATTTAAATGGATGCAACATATAAATTAATATCAAGAAGATGTAGAAACATCTCTACATCATGTACAGGGAGGATTTATAGCACATTGTATACTATCCTGTATCTGGAATACTAGTTTATTCATCTTGGGAATAACGTTGATGTTTTCCCAAACGACGAACGTATTTTTGATTCAATTACGACTTTTTACGTATGTAACCCTGATACATAAACATTGTAAGTACTCCCGGGAGCTTATCCAATAATCTAATAGGAACTGTATACTGTGTAAGTGTAATAAATCCTCCATATACGCTCATTTCTGCTTCATTGCTCCACCAATTATCAAGTAATATTTTCCTGCACTATATCCAAACCTCTGTGCAGTCTGTGGACGAGCACAAAACCAGTAAACGTAAGCCCAACGCGTATACTGGGATATACAGGTTGGCACATCGAATGTGTTACTTTTTCACTTATTTTTATTTGAAATATACCGTCTGAAAGAATATTGATTTTTTCTTTACCGCCCTGTACTGAATGTGATTGTAGAACGGCTAGAAACTGGGTTATGAATGTATGGTGGAGCAACAAACTTGTATCTTGCATCGAGTCTCTGGTCATTCCCTCCTCTAGTCTCCATCCCAACACCCCTCATCTCTGGCTATAGAGCTTGCTGCATCATTGCACACACATCTAGCCCCCCCCCCCTAGATGGGCCCATTTTTATTATTTCGAGCCTCAAATGGGGCTTCTAATTTTGGTACAAAAAAGGACGACCCCATTTTGGCCCTAATGAATTTCCAGATTCGCCTGTTTGGCTTCAAAGTTGAGTGAGCTGGGTCAACATTTCAAACGAATTTACTCATTTGATTAATGTAAAGTGTGGGAGAGAGGGATGGATGACGTAACTCAAAGGCTTGATGCAAGGGTGTTAAGCATAATATCTACCAAGGTTGTTACAGCTGATAAAATATCCCCAATCCTTGTAACCAGTGGCCGTGTAGTTCTAGATAACATTAAAGAATATATATTATACTAGAATAGTAATGAGTCTATACTGAAAATTATTCGACATTGTATCATAAATACATATTTTCAAATGCATGTATTTAATAGATTATTAGAGAGGTTAAGATCGCACTATTTTGGAGAACGTGTACATGAAACGTGTAAAATCGTGGTCCCATCAAGAATATTTTCAATTCACCGGCCTTTTAATTTGCCCGATTGAGTATGAAGATGTGAGGAAAAAAGTTGCATTAAGGGGAATTGAGAGGTATGCAATAGTAGAATTCGGGAGGGGGTCTTAATATTTCACGTTTACGTTCAAGTTCTCCAAAATGCGTGTAACTAAACCTACCTAATATTTCAACATCTGTACGTGTTACATGAGGTAATCTGACTATTGAGGCGTTGCCGCTTCACCCTCGGGAGACACAATGACGACCAACTATGTATCAGATGCCCTCACCAAAGAACAGACCAAGACACATAGAATCAAACATATTGTGCTAACAGAATTAACAATATCATAGTTGTTGTAAGTAACTCAAACTTACCAGATATATAGTGTTTGTAGTAAGCCCTAAATTACTGCCATCTGTGGCTGTCGACCTCTTCAAATGCACGTCTACAATGAAATAAAACACAAGTGCAAACTTCTACTACTACTTTTGTACTTAAATTGAAGTATGTTGCCAAAAACAAAAATAACAGGGGTCCATGACCAGTAAATTGTTATTAGTTGTTTGTCCAAAACATTGCGTCCCTCAATCTTGCATACAAACCGAAAAGTATTTTGAAATAGTTTGATTTCATTTTTGAAGAGATCTCCATGTACCCTAGATGTACCTAATTTCTAAGGTTGGACTTTCACGGTACAGCATGAGGGGACACTGGCGGATTAGGAGGGGGGGGGTTAGAGTTGAAATGTGCCCCCCCCCCATCCTTGTTAGTTCTCAGATCCGCCCTTGGGGATGTGGTATGAGAGTGAAAATTGTTTCAAGTACGATCAATGTTAACGGAATTCGTTTCATTTGTATAATAAAAATATATATTTTTCCAATTTCTTCCCAAACATGGAATATTGTACTTTTGACCTCCTTTCAACTGATCACTTGTTCAATGTACACCTCATGAAAAAATAGTTGGTCTGATCTATAAACGCCATCATAGGTTCAAATGATCAGCACATCTGAAGAACTGCATCAAAGATGCTGAGCTTGGTTCGTTGAATGACGAAATTATCAAAATGAGGTCAAATTCACCTATTTTTTATAGGTCAGTGTCATCAAAAGCGAATACTGGTAATGTAAAAAATGTAAACTAAAAGTCAATGGCCGTTAAAGGTCGGACTCTCTCAGGTCACATACGATATGTCAGGGTGGTCTAATGGTGTCGAAGGAGGTCATATTCATTCATATGTCAATATGTAATCTGAAAGTCAACGTGGTTTAAGTTCTATGTCAACTAATATCTTAATATAAGAGGCTTATGAGTGCGTTATTGATATTCCTCAGTAACGATCTGAATCCAGTATGCAATGTTCAATCATGGGCTGCATGGGCATATTGACATAAAACTATTAACTTCTACAATTCAAGATTGTAAATCGAATCCTAGCACACTATGCAAGTGGCAAGTAATTCTTGCCTCTATCGATTTCCTTTCAAGAACATTACATACACACTTCTGACACTAGAAAATAGGCATTTTAGATATTTTCTTGCATAAACACTGAGGAAAACCATGCCGTGATTGATTGGGGCAATAGAAATCTACTTTGCAAGTGCAATCACCAATGTTCGTGAATATATCGCATCGCAACTTAGCGCAACATCCCAGCTTTCAGTCTAGTGTATGGCGCCAACCGAAGAAAACATGGGGAATTTGATAAACGAACCAAGCAAAATAAGTTGGAGCGCATAAGAATCCTGTTATTTGTTACTCAGTCATTTTGATTCACAGAGTTCCAGTTGCATTGTTTCCTAAAATCAACACTCGATGCTGCTCACTTCGTGCAAATTTTGGAAAGCAACACCTCCAAGGAATGGTCATTCCACAATGTACCGAGACGGAGTCCGGGGCTTAAAACCTTAACCAATTTCAGCCTCGGTTTTATAGATTTTACTGTTCCCGGGATCACTGTACTCTTCTCTACTATGGCCTTACTGAGCACCACCATTTTGGAATCATGAAAATGTTAGCCATCCCGAAAATTATTATCCTTGGTATCAAGTTAGAAAGTTAGTGCTTGCAGTTACTCGAATTTAACAATAGGCCACTTTTCTAAATAGATTCCAGCTTTTAGAAACATTTAATTATGATACTTTTTTATCCTTTCAGAAGTTTAGGTACAAGCCCCTGTGAGCCCCCCCCCCTCCCCCCGTGGCGGATCCAGGGGGGGGACATGGGCCCCGGCCCCCTTTTAGTCGGTCCAGAATTTAGTTTTAGTTTTTGGGCCCCAAACTTTTGTAGGGCCTTTTTGGTTTTAGGCCTCAAAATCCCCCCCCCTTGTTAATTTCTGGATCCGCCACTGCCCCCCCCCACACTACACACCTCCCACAAGAGATGATGTGTGGATGAAGTAGATAAGGGAGTTCAGTCTTGAAGAAAGACTACCATTTAAGTATTGAAATTTAAACGATAGTTCGAACATGGGTTAAACATAATCTCTTGTCTTACTCTTCTGTATGCTATCATGATGCTATCTACCTAGACAAAAACCCTCTGCCTGGCTGAGAGCAAAGGGGTGAACGCGTGGATGCAATCGTCCACTTCCCTCGCAGCAGAGGCATTGTAGTGGACTTAACCTGGATCCCACCATTGATGAATAACAAATTCATTTATTGCTTCACCAAATTAGAGAAAGAAAAAATCACCCATTGCAATGTTGAGATGTGGTTGCGACGTTTGTAGTGCATCTGAGTGCAAATAATCTATTAACACTGCAACTACTAATGCTGCTAATATTGATACAGAATAATATCTGATAATTTATAGTAAACAAATGTCCTTTCTCACAAATAAATAATTTCTGAGAATACATGTCAATGTATGCAGCATCAAGACCATACACAACCGTCTACCGATTCTAAACACACCAAATTACCTCCATGATTTAATAAGAAGAATCTTAAGTACTTACCGGTCCCTTTGGTGTTTATGATCTGTCTATTGCTGGATTCTACGACAGGTTGACTGCACAGAAAAACAAAATGGTGAACCGATATTAACGTTGGAAGCGATGCAGTGTGGGATGCTACAATAAATAATTAATGTTATTGATCCGCAAGCTGGCCGTAGTTGTGCTGCGATATCTGGATATTGAATGATCTGTAGCATTGTCAGACTTTCATGCAATATTGAACTAATAAACACAAATGCACATGATTGCAAATTACGATAAGTTAATAAACCTAAATAAATGTGCACCCTACAGTGTAACTGATTATAGTGAATCAATATTTTGTCTTTACTAATTAGCGCAATCATGGCAATGCATTGGTTCTGGAACACCCCTCCCTTTCTGGCATGAAATCATTTGATTGCATAAATGTCATTTTATGTAGCTGGATCATTCTGGTTTCTTTGGCACTCAGGGTCAGGCAAAAATATATAACTAGTTGACATAACAACTCATGTTTGTTTTGGGTTTGCATTTATGAGCGCAACAATAATCAATATAACAGTAGAAATAGCTATGTTCCATTTTGATGATATAAAACTGATGACGTAGGTGTGCTAGGTCAACATTTAACAAAATGATTTAAAAGTTCCAAGTGTTCCAATGCACTCTGCAGATACATGGGCAGAGCCGGGGCAGAGCCAAATGAATATGTGATTTCAACAAAATGATGGAATCAGGCACAGCTTTTCATTTTATGGACGTCTACTTTTGAAAATAAAAACAACGGGTTTTTATGTTCAGTCCAGCAGTAAACGTAAGGTGGCTTTGACTCTGTTTTGGTTGTTTTTCTGCAAAGTATGAATTGGAGCGCATTGGGAACGTATTCTCATTCTGGAAGTCACTCGATCACTGAGTCATAATAACAGACTATGAATTTATAAAACCTACCATAGTGACTTGATTCTTACCACTATGATTGCATGGATCAACCATCATGTAGGCAAAATGACAACGAATGATAAAAACTGCAGAGAAAAAGTAATTTACCATTAACCTTCAATAAACCAAAATATTTTACTTATTCTTACATTTGTGTCGTGTATATTTTTCTCATCAGTTAATTTGAGTGAAGAATCGATATACATTTGCCTCAGCATCAGAAAGTGAGGGACGAGCTAATAGAACAAGACCATACATTTGTATGTAACAGGCTTACTTCAATCAATATCGTGTTTAATTTCCCAATTTCTTCCCAATTCTCAAAGCATTATGTTTAACAGGAAGCAAATGATGTTTGACTTGGGTACACTCTCGGATCACATGGTTTCAGAGAAACATCTTTCTCTAGAAACCCCAGGGTTTAATAGATGGCATGTGAACTTGGTTATAGAATCATTATATTAAATACTTTTTAATGTTCTTTAAAGTGAATCATCTCGCAATGTTAGAATTATGTGGGCTACCCACAGACTTCGTGTAGTATGCCAAACGTATATATATATAAGGGTTATGTACTGGGAGGTTTTGGATACAGGGTTTATCCCAAGGGAGGGGGGGGGTGTATAGGGATATTGTATATCCTATAAGAGGGTGAAAATTTATTGTATATTGTATAAGAGGGGGCAAAATTTATTGTATATGGTATAAGAGGAGTAAAAAATATGGTATATGGTATAATAGAAAATATATGGTATATGGTACCTATAGAATTAAAGAAGGCTAATAATGCAGAAATTGTACCCTAAAGTTCCCAATTGTGCCAACTCTCTGACTGTAACCGTGTTGGAAAAACATGGAAAAGTAGTCTCTCTAATTGGTTCCACATTCCAGGTCAATCAATGCTGTAAGTTTAGAGAAAATCACTCTCAAACTAAGAGTTTTGTGCCCTTTTCATTCAAATTTTCACAGGAGGTGTTAAAAACATTCTCGAATAAGAATCACGCCCGGTGATCAGAAGAAATGAACGGAGGGAAAGTAGCTGATTTTCGGTAGAAAATTCAACAAATCTTGAAGATTGAATAGCTAAATGAATAGGTGCAGTGGACGGGTAAATATGTTAGGTTTTCTTGGATTTTTTTTGAATTGTAGAGATAAAAGATCTATTAAAAATGCAGCGTCGCCAACGTGCAAATGCCAATATTTTTGCTATAAATCAAGCAACAGGGGTCTACATGACCTGTAATAAATACTTTTAAGTGAAGTAATTATCACAAAACTATTGTCATCGTTGGTTTTGTAAAACACGTTACCATACGTTATATAAAAAGTAACCGAAAATTATTAAAATTGAACAGAGGGGGAGTAATGTGTCTACAAGACATATGAAAAGAGATGTAACTTGACTTTATTTCCAAAAACTCCATATGTCCCTATTTTTCACTTTTCAGAGTTGTAACATCAAGCTGTTACTGAGTTCATTTTTTAAGTACACGAGTTTGTGGAAATTCCTCCCACCCTCCGTTCACCCCCTCCCCTCCGTGCAATTTCAATTATTTTCGATTATTTTTTTATCTATCATTTGGAAATTTATTTTTAAAAACCGTCAATGAAATTAGTTTTGTGATAAAAACATTGGCATTTGCACGTTGGCGACGCTGCACCTTTTTAATACTGTAGATCTTTTATCTATTCATGACAAAATGTCGGAACGTCGAAGGTACGATTTTACTTTTTTCCTTATTTAACACGTTGTAGGCAGAATTCCCACGACATTTTTTTATCTCAAACGTGTATCAGTATCATATGTTTAAGAAAATGTACATATTTGCGTACAAATAGTTTAGAAGACAACAGAATCGTCGATTTAATTCCTCATCTGAGTTACATAAACGGTTTTTCGAAAAACAGTTAAAATCTGCACTTTTAACCCAAACCGTTTATGTAACTTAAGTGAGGAATTAAATCGACGATTCTGTTGTCGTCTGAGCTATTTTTCGCAAACATGTATATTTTCTAAAACATATGATGCTGATACACGTTTGTGTGAAAAAATGTCATGGGGATTCTGCCTAACGCGTGAAATACGGAAAAAAGAAAAATCGTACCTTCGACGTTCCGACATTTTGTTACCAAAACGATTCGATCACCAGTGAAACTTAAGCAGGGGAGTGTAAGTCGGTGTGGGTAATATTATTTTTCCATGGGGACTAAATTGATAGAAAGATGGCAGTACCGGTCTGTTCTCTCACCTACCGTTTAAGCCATTTAGGGTGAGATGGTGAATAATCTTATACTGTTACACAAGACCTTTGTCACAATAAATGAATGAATATGGGAGAAACATCCCCCGGAGGCAGGGGTCCAAACATCATCCACTCTGTCTGTTTCTTCTGATCTTATCATAGGGCACATGAGCAGATAGTAGAGATGTTCTGAAAGGAAAATCGTCTCTATGAAGCAAAGAAAAAATTGATGCAGACACTGGAACAGATATGTAGTAGAAACCAGGGTCCGTAGATAGCCAGGTTTGCCAAAGAGGTTTACTTTTCAAAAATCAAGAGTTGACATTTGACAATTATGGCCCAAAACCACTTGAAAAGTGCTCAGAATAGTAAATGGTCGATGAATGCTTCGCCTTCGTGCAGTATGTGTATGGGTTAGTACATATGCTTTTATATTTCCAATATCAGAAGGATACATGATTCTTGATTCCTTAAATAAATTATCAAATGATATCTCCAATAGTAAAAAAATAAATAAAAAAAAATTAATTAAAGTATGCAAAGAAAGTAAGTAAAATGAACAGAGCATGCATTAAAATGCCCATTAAAATATGTCGGATCATCCCTGATATTTATTTACAATATTTAAAATTGCCAAAATACCTGAAATACTCATGCCATTGCATGGATAGATACGCGTGTTTTCTACTCTTTCCTTGGTAGCAGACGGTGGGTGATGATCATGCATGAGGCCTTAAGAATGATACAATTCTTGTGCGCGATTGACAATTACATGTTTACCAAAATGGAAGAGTTTTATGAGTGAAAACATGTGTTAAACTAGAAACGTTTACTTCTAAAAGGAAGTGGAGATATTGGGAAAACATATTTAGGTTATGCAAGCTAGGATTCACACACAATAGACTCTATGACTTTAAATGTTCAAGGGAATGTTAGTTTAAGTTTTTAAGAGTAAGCGTTGCAGAGTCACTGTCTGTGAAATCAAGACATATCTTTGGTTTACGCTCTCGGTCACAATGTGTTCCACTTGCACTTTTAGACTCCATCGGATCATTCATATATATCTGTGCCAGTGGTGTAAAAGTATTTAACTTGTTTAGAAAGCGATCTGTATCCATATGCCATCTATTTATAGTCCATTTGTCATTTTCTGAACGTATGAATATTTAAAAGTATGATGTTTTTCTGTGTAAATACTATCATTAGGGATTATTGGAGTGATTTAGCAGGGTTGCTAAAAAACTAACGTTGGGGAAAATTTTTGTATCTATCACCATAGTAACATACCAGGTACATGGTGGTATCCCGACGCTAAGTCAATAGTCAACGCCATATTAAGCCAATGCACCCCTCCCTAATTAGCCGATATACTTTTTTCCCCAAACTAACTTTTTGTCCAACCCAGTTAAATCACTTCAGAAAACCCTTATTATCATAAATCGACCATAAAACATCATACTTTTAACAATTTCTAGGTTCATGTATAGGGGTGACAAATGGACTATTATTGTTCATGTTCGGCTCGCTTTACATTTACTGTACTGTAAATTGCGTTATTGGTGACGAGCTGTCAATCCGCCAAATTAAATACTGTAACAGCCAAAATTTTCAAAATTTACCCAATCCGCCGCTAAATTGAAGCAAGTGACATTATGTGCTTTTGATATTTGAGCGTAGGCCTGGGAAGCTCGCAAACGATTTCTTTATGCGTCGTTTAAATGGAACAGGCGGTATGAGTGGATGCTAATGCCTTGGTCACATTTGCTCCGATTTTCACTACGGCGCCCGGCCGATTGAGTAGTTTGTTCAAAATTGAATACAATATTGAGCAAAACACTCAATCGGCCGGGCGCCGGCCGATGGATCGGAGCAAATGTGACCTAGGCATAAGTTGTTGTTGTTGCACGAATCCCTGGAACTGGACACGAAGTCAGTCTTCGTTTCAAAATGGCCGGTGTGAAAGAAATTATGGCCCCCCTTTTAAAGGCCCTTACTGGCCCTGATTGGCCTATATATTTGCGTAGTGTCGAACTTTCACTTCCTAAGCACCTGGTTGTATTTGTGACCAGAACCGTAAAAAGTATTTTGACTGATTTATATGGTTGTATGATTGACAAACAGTGCTCTGTACTGATTCAATGCACCGTTTCAGTTATCCCTTATTGTATATAATTCCAAAGATGAAGGCCATGCCCTAAATTGTCGTTGTAAGCAGTTGTCGTCATGGTAATTGTCCGCCGAATTCATTGAGCAAAGTGGTCACGGGTGAGTTCCAAAAGAGTTTAACTCTAAAAATATCTACTGGGCTTTCAAGTGCAAATGTAACTCTAAATGCATAATACAACGTTGATATATACATTTAAACTAATAGTCCTTGCTGCAAGTCAAACAAGTTTGCTTTCACTGGCACAAAGCGGAAACTGTCTTCGCTTCCGAATCGAGAAAATTGATTTGTAAATATCCAAACAATTGCGTTATACGATGCAAAATATTCAGATGAAATTTGGAGGAGGAAAGCAATTTAGATGAATCAAGAAAACAAAACATCTCATAAAATTTTGTTTCCGGAAGCCAGGCCCTGTTGAAACGAATGTCTTCGTTTCGGTTGATCCCCAGTAATGAATACATGTAAGAGCAGTATGTGACGAAAAGAACGCTGAACATTATAGGAAATATATGACGCCGATTAAGAATAAGGTCACAGAAATGGAGCGAGGAATATATACAAGACCAATAATTCCGAAAGATCAAAGAAAATGTAAATTATGTAAAATCAACACTGGTACAAAAACTCATTTTATTTTTGAATGCCAAAAATTGGAAAAAATGAGATATGAATACTTTGATACGTTTAATGTGCTATAAAAGTTAACAGAAAATGACAAAACAAAAAATGTCAAAACCATGCTGGATTTTGAAAAATTTTTGAACCAAGATAACTTCTTCTGTTTGGACCTATTCCACATATTATTTACATGACCGGGAACACAATGAAAATGGTCAGAATGACCATAAACATGATGAAATAATCTTTTCAGCCCTCTGAAAATATGACTGAAAATAGCTGAAAGTACGTGCTCAGGAAAAGTCAATGAACAGAATCTTTTGATTTTTTCAGAAAATGTGCCTAACATATTGCTCTAAATGATACAATCTTTGAAATTTTAAAAAATCTTCTGAAACAATAATGGGAAAATAGATCGATTTAAAATGCTCTAATACAATCTTTGAAATTTTAGAAAATTGTCTTAAACAAAAATGGCGGTCATAAAAAGGAAAATAGATCGCTTTTTTTTCTTTTTCTATGAATGATATCAAATTTTTAAAGATTGTATCATTTAGAGCAATATATTGGGCACATTTTCTGAAAAATTCAAAAGATTCTGTTCAGTGACCTTTCCTACCTCCTACTTTTAGTTTTTTTCAGTCACATTTTCATAGGGCTGAAAAGATTATTTCATCATGTTTAGGGTCATTCTGACCATTAACATTGTGATCCTGGACCTGTAAATGGTATTTGGAACTAGTTGAATGGACTGGAGGTCAAAACAGAACTCTGTTATCTTTGTTAAAAAATGTCTAAAAATGAAAAAAAATTGTCACTTTCTGTTTTTTTCATTTCCTGTTAACTTCCATAGCACCTTAACAATATAAATATATACATGTAGGCTAACAGTAGTGACGTGTATATATCTAATGATTTTCCGCTTGCGCGGAAAAAAATTTTGGGCCCCTAAAACGCAAAAGTGGGCCCAAATTTTGAAATTTTGAGGCCCATTTTCTTCAAAATTTGGCCTGAATTTAAAAATAAGGCCTTAAAAGGCCCAGTAATGACCAAAAAGGCCGACTTTTTGAAGGCCTTAAGGCCTTTTTTGGCCCAAAATTTTTTTTGGGCCCAATTTTTTTTTCTGGGCCCACCCAAGGGGGGGGGGCCCGGGCCCCCAGGCCCCCCCCCTAATCCGCCAGTGAGTTTTAGTTTTAGATTTTTAGTACAATAAAGCATTGAATATATTAACTGAGAAAAATCTCAAATGAACTGTAACTTTCATTTCAAAGTTACAGCTCTACATAGCCTAAAGCAGTGGCGGACTCCAGGAGGCAAATGTTGCCCATCCCCCTTGTTCTGCCAGGATCCGCCACTGTAAAGAATAAAGCCCCCCCCCCCCCCAATAAAGAATTCATACAGTAATAAACAATTTAAACATCTAACTACTTGAAAGAGTCTGGGGAATTACGGAAACTGTTTTCAGCATATAAACTTACATGTACATGTACGGATAGATAATCAGTAATTCGGCGGACCTTTGAGACAGGGACGAAGGTGCAAACACCCCACCGAGTATGCTTTTTCTGAAATGCTGTCCTGATTTTCATTCATTTCCCCACTAGTTTTATGTTTGATGCACCAATATGTTGTGTTTTGAGACATGGTTAACCACTTTAAAAAATGCATCCATTATTAATTTATTTACTGATTTAGATTCTAATTGTGATGAGGTGAAAAGCTTTTGAAAGTGAAATATTATCTCACCTCGACCTTCTCTATAGCCTAATTATATTACTAGTATCAGGGCTGTCAACTTGGGATCACCTAATATGAGTGACTTCAAAATGTTGGACACCTAAGTCCAAATCTGAACACTTTTGTCCAAATTTTGAACACCTTTGGCCAACTTTTAAACACCTTTGGCCAAAGTTTGAGCACCTTTGCCAAACTTTGAACACCTCAAATTTTTCGCGCTCGCTACGCTCGCGATGTCGTCAACGGGGGGGGGGGGGGGGGGGGGGGGTAGGGGTAGGTACGAAATAATTTCAAAGAACATGCGTGACACATACGGGATTCGCGTGACAAATCCGAACAAATTGCGTTCGGTTTTTTCCGGCGTTCGTATTTTTACCGTATCGTAAACATATTTCGAAAAAATTCCTACATAAATATTTTTGCTTGACAATTACCAGGTAAAATGCGTATTTTGCGTGACATTTTCTGTCACGCAAAAAAAACTGGCGTGACTTCAAATTCTTCAGCAAATGCGTGACAAATACGCAAATTGCGGGACAGTTGACAGGCCTGCGTATGTACATTGTTTTCGTGTTCCAGTATCGATAACTATCAGGAGTTAGTGGAGACATACATGTAGTGAACTCCAAACTTGTCTATAGAAAGAAAAACTCGGGAAAAACCATAGATCCCGGCCAGATTCTTTTGTAGTAGAATCAGTAGCTCAATAATATTTCCTCAAGATGAGACACCTCAGAAAATTTCAAATTTTAAAATGACGATTCGGCAGCCATTTCTGAAAAATATGAGACAAATCATACCTCATTCGAAGGGTCTTGTTATTCTTTACCTTTTTTATCACCAATGGCCGTTATTCAAGCAATACTGCGTTGATAAGAGGCCAAAACAGTGATATTTTATCGCCGGACTCTTGTCTGTCCAAATCTGAATGTTGCTCCCGTGGTTCCAGAAATGTGACGTCATCATTACAATGATATTTGGACACACAAGAGTCCGGATTTCGTGAAAAATATTCGCCGTATTGAAAGTCAAATAACTGCATCCATAGGTTATTTACTCGAACCAAACAAGTAGAAATAGAAAGATGAAGATCTCAGCTATAAAATAAGTGCAAAATCTGTCACGGGGAAACAGGTACCATTTTGTATAAGGAACGTTTTGAAAGGTGGACACTTTTTTTTCGAAATTTTCCAATTTAGTGTCGTATCTTCTGTATTATTCTTTGAGCCTATGATCCTACTACAAAACGATCTGGCCAATATCTGTGGGAAAAACTCTCAATGTTGCCGGTGACTTAACCGGAAGTTTACTTCTGCTAGTAGTTCTACGGAGTGAATGATCTGGTTTTTAACTTTCTCAAAATCAATGTTTATACTTTTATATACTGAAACATAAACAAAACGTACAATATAAAGTTATTTGAAAATCCTATCAACTGTTTGAAGCATTTCCCTTAATTTATTTCATCCGAAAAGACCTATGTAAACTTTGAAGAAGTGAATTTGTATTCGTGTGAAAAGATGGCAAGCCCAAGTCAAGGATTTGTTTCGCTGTGTTTAGGATTAAATGTATGCTGTTCAATCGTTATTGTACTTCTCAACAAGTGGGTTTATGTCACGTACAAGTTTCCTAATATTACTCTAACATGTCTTCACTTCTTGGTAACATCTCTAGGACTAGTATGCTGCAGACAGTTTGGGATGTTTCAGCCAAAAAGTTTGCCAATCATAAAAATGCTACCACTCTCATTGACATTTTGTGGATTTGTAGTTTTTACAAACCTGTCACTCCAGAATAATACAGTAGGAACTTATCAGATCTGTAAATGTATGACTACACCATGTATAATAGTCTTACAGACATACTTCTATCACAAATCATTCTCAACCAAAGTGAAACTCACACTGGTAAGTATACTGTAGATCCACATGCTACATTGTATCTGTTGCAAGACTTATGCCTGGCACAACCGTCACCATGTTATTAGTGTTTTTAAGTTGCGCAAGGATCCTACCATGACCGTGGTAATGTTATCGTGAAAACCTGGCGAGACTAGCCTTTATATGACATCATGGGCTTTCAATTAGAGCCCATGATGACATTTATGACTTATTTTATGTTTCGCCCTTTGCTATTGTTAGTGTATTTTTATGGATTAACCTTGGTTATTGCAATATTGGTCCACATGCTATCTATTGCAAGAATTACGCCTGCCACAACCGTCGCCATGTTAATCAGTGTTTTTAAGTAGCGCAAGGATCCTGCCCTGACCGTGGTAGTGTTATCGTGTAAGCCTGGTATAACCGTGACAGGCTGGTATAACCGTGGCAACGCTGTATTATATCGCAAGGCCTGTCATGACCCTGGAAGTGTTATCGTGGAAGCCTGGCGCGACCGCAGCCTTTATTGTGGTTTATAAACAAATGTGAATATTAGATATAGTAGTAATTTTGATTTTGACATTATCAAACTGTTTAATTGTAATCACGATCACTTAAAATTGTTAAGGATATTCCTGGCATTAATGTCATACATATTTACTAGTCAATTGCAATACATTATAACGGTCATAGTAGGACTAAGCCTAAATTTCTACATTACCACCCTCATACTTGGCCTTGCAATACTATATTACATTGTCACGGTTATACCAGGCTTTGCGATCTCATAATACATTGTCATGGTCATGCCAGGTTTTGAAATACACATTGTCACGGTCACTTACAGCAATCATAAATTTCTACATTACCACTCTCATACCCGAACTTGGAATACTATATTACATTGCCACGGCGGTCATACCAAGCCTTGCAATACTATATTACATTGTCACGGCCATGCCAGGCCTTGCAGTACTATATTACATTGCCATGATCATGCCAGGCTATGCAATACACATTGTCACAGTTATAGCAGTCCTAATCGTAAATCTCTACATTACCACTCTCATACCTGAACTTGCAATACTACATTGCATTGTCACGGTCATGCCAGGCCTTGAAGAACTATATAACATTGTCACGGTCATGTCAGGCCTTGCAGTACTACAGTATGTTACATTGTCACGGTCATGCCAGGCCTTGCAGTACTATATTACATTGTCACGGTCATGCCAAGCCTTGCAGAACTATATTAAATTGTCACGGTCATGGCAGGCATTGCAATATAATACAGCATTGTCGCGGTTATACCAGGCTTTCACGATAACATTACCACGGTCATGGCAGGATCCTTGCGCTACTTAAAAACACTGAATAACATGGTGACGGTTACGCCAGGCGTTAGTCTTGCAACAGATAGGGTCTCTATTGGTCATAGAAAGTATGTGTTATTGAATCAAACATTCTTAAGATTAGAATTATAGTTTGTGGAAATAAATTATGAGTTAAAAATGAATCTAAAATTTTATGTATCAACAACGTATGTGAGTACCATGTACACAATCATATAGTAGTCTAGATTTACGTATTAAAGGTAGTTACACGATGAAAGTTTTCATTATGGTATTCTCATGATTCTAAATGTCATTTAATATAACCATTGTCACAGTCATATCATATAACGATTGTCACGGTCATAATGTGCTTAACATTACCACGGTCATGACAGTCCTTGCAACCATTGTCACGGTCATATCAGGATTGAACATTTCCACAGTAATGATAGGCCTTGCAATATAATATAGTATTGGCACAGTCATATCAGGCTTTAACATTACCACGGTCATGACAGGCCTTGCAATATAACCATTATGTGCATTATATAAGCATTATGTATTAAGATTTATGCAGCATTATGTATTAAGATTTATGCCTGTACCACATGTACCAGGCTTTAAAAATTTGAAGAAGGCATAAAATAGATTGTAAGGAATTCACGATGGTTCTGCCTGCATGTATCGTACTCCGTTCAGCATATCTGTGAGTATTACATATGTTGAATTGCCTCGGCTTACTTCTGAAGCTCTGATGAGTTGGGACTATTGAAGTTTTACCTTACAGACATAGACTTCAGATACAAATATGTATGTCAGTTTTCAGGACCGTAGCCAGGATATACCAAAGTTTTTTATTTTTTCCCCGATCAGGGGTTTGTTTTATAGCAAAAGGGAAGGAGGTTTGAGGTAAAGGGGTGGATAGCACAAGCCCCATGAACCCCCTCTAATTATCCCATCGAACGAAGTTCGGAGGGATATAGGGAACGCCTCCGTCCGTCCGTCCGTACGTACGTACGTACGTACATACGTACGTATGTCCGTCCGTCCGGGCAATAACTCAAATACCGTTGGCCCGATTTTGTTAATATTTTGTACACATATACCCTATGGGGGTAGAAGTTCTGCTCGAAAGCCGATTTTCAAAATGGCCGCTCATTTCAAAATGGCGGCCATTTTAGTGCCGATTTTACAGTAATTTAGGTGCAATATGTAAAACTGTAATAGCAATATGTTTTAAATGTAAAAAAATTATAAAGGACATTAATAATGCTACAAATGTAGATATTAAAGAAGCACATGGCAGCCATCTTGAAAAATGGCGGCCTTTACTCGTCATTTTACGATTTTTGCTGTAACTCAAAAATTAGTGAAGCGATTGTGTTCATATTTGGTATGTGAATACTATAAGCATTGCACACTGTCTAAAGACACTTTTGGTAGAAGGCGGCCATAGAAAAATGGCCGCCATTTTAACGTATTTTACTATAACTCGAAAAGTAGTGGAGCGATTTTGTTCATATTTGGTATGTGAATACTATAAGCATGGCACACTGTCCTATGACACTTTTGGTAGAAGGTGGCCATTTTGAAAAAAATTTGAAAAATGGCCGCCATTTTAACATATTTTACTATAACTCGAAAAGTAGTGGAGCGATTTTGTTCATATTTGGTATGTGAATACTATAAGCACGGCACACTGTCTATTTCTAATGACACTTTTGGTAGAAGGTGGCCATTTTGAAAAATGGCCGCCATGTTAACGTATTTTACTATAACTCGAAAAGTAGTGGAGCGATTTTGTTCATATTTGATATGTGAATACTTTAAGCATGGCACATTGTCTTATAAAACCATGGGGAGTAGTCGGCCATTTTGAAAAATGGCCACCATTTTTACGTGTGTTATTTTACAAGTACGTGTGCGATTTTTCAAAAATTTTAGAGGTGGCTTCTTAAAAGCATATTATTTCTCCTGATGACAACTTGGCTAGTGAGCCACCATTTTGAAAATGGTGGCCTTTCTGGTGTGTTGTTTTATGATATTTGCTATTCGTTTGTAAAAATGCCAGCCATTTCTGTTCGATGGGATTCGCTACGCTTTGGCGTTGCCGTTGTTCTGGTTACACCCATGATTTTAGATTAAAAGTTTTACTGGGAAAAGGTGTTCACATGATAAGATAGATGTTCGGATATACAGGTTTTACTGTAACATGTACTGTATTTGTTTCTTTCTATTGCAGATTCCCATCTCTATTGGAGTCTTCCTCAACAGTTATTATGACATCAAGTTCAGTGCCATTGGAATCACATTTGCAACAGTTGGTGTTATTGTCACCTCATTATACCAAGTGGTTAGTATATTGTGTCACAAATTTTTGGCCATATAGTGATATCCACTGTCTACATACATTATATGCTAACACCAATGAGGTTTAAGTCCCACTTGCCCTATCAAGTCCCATCAGGTTCGACCATGCTTCATTAAGTCCCAAGATGTCTCATGGGACATTGTTGACTCTATAATCGAGTCCCACTGTGCCCCATCGAGTCCCAAGGAAATGAATTTTGTTAAAAAGGTTTTTATGCGGCTGTTTGATTCACAATTCTTCTGGCAAGTCCCATGATGCCTCTTGGAAAGAATGAATGATCTCTGTTCGATGCGGTAAAATATTGATTGGCGTCCCTGGGAGCCAATCTGCCTTGGGTTTCATTTCAAGAATATTCATGGGTGATAATGGAGAATGAGGGAGCAGTTCAAAAGTTCAATGTCAAAATTACTAACTTAAAATAAACTACAAATGAGTTGGTTCGAGATGTTACCACATTCCGCACAAGATGGTATATTATCATTTTAATTCCTGTATTTTGTCATTTTATTATCCCATCGAACGAAGTTCAAAGGGATATAGGGAACGCCTTCGTCCGTCTGTCCGTCCGTCCGTCCGTCCGTCTCAAAAGCCGATTTTCAAAATGGCCACTCATTTCAAAATGGCGGCCATTTTAGTGCCAAATTTACAGTAATTTTCAAAATGGCTACCATTTTAACGTATTTTACTATAACTCGAAAAGTAGTGGAGCGATTTTGTTTATATTTGGTTTGTGAATACTATAAGTATGGCAAATGGTCTAATGACACTTTTGGTAGAAGGCAGCCATTTTGAAAAATGCCTGCCATTTTTGCTATATACTTTGTTTGTAAAAATGCCATCCATGGCTGTTCGATGGGATTCGCTACGCTTTGGCGTTGCCGTTGTTCTGGTTTCTTTTGGAAATAATAAAGTAAAACTAAAGAAGAACACCTTTTGAACCTTAAAATAATCTTCCAATTTTGGATGTGTTCCATTGACAAAGCATCATTTTACATTTAGTTTTTGGTGTTCCAATTTCCCAAAATATTCCACTTTACGTGATGTAATTCTAATAATGTAATTAATAATTATGAATCATATTTAGTGGGTAGGTGAAAAACAACAGGAGTTCCAGGTGAATTCTATGCAGTTGTTGTACTACCAGGCCCCTCTCAGCGCATTCCTTCTTCTCTTCGTCATTCCATGGTTTGAGCCAGTCATCGGGGAAGGTGGCATCATATCAAACAACTGGAGCGTGCAAGCAATAGTAAGTACATCATGGGTACCAACTAGATCTCGTAACGTGAGCATTTTAGCACCTGTTTTACTATGCATTATTGAGCCGATCATAGTTATAGACGAGTAGGAAGGAGGGGTTCCCATGCACCCGAAAGATGTATTTTTTTAATGTACATTTTTGTAATCCTAAAGGTCCATACTAAAGATTTTTGCATGTTCCCAGAATGAAATATTGTCCCATGGTATCTATTGGCGGCCATCTTGTTGGCCATCTTGGATTTTTGAAAGAGTTGATGTTAATTATCTCAAAGTACAATAACTTCCAGAGTTTTGAGATTTGAAAGCTGTAAGTGGTACCAAAATGAAGCTATTATAGTTTCCTATATTATCAGATGCAATAATTATGCAAATTGTCTCATTTGCATAAAATGTGACATCATTAATCATAATTCTTGCCTCTTTACAACGGTATCGCATTATACCTTTCTGCCTGAGTGATCAGTCTTAGTCATTCATTCACATAAATGAATTTAAATATATAGGTACATTAATTTTGAACATATTTGCAAAAAATAATTCGAAACTTTTGGAAAAACGTTGTCAGACACACATAATGTTACTTAAAAGAGGCGTGGCACTTCTTGTGAAAGAATTGATTTTAATTATCTTAAAGTATAATAACTTCCACAGTTTTGAGAGTTGAAAGCTGTAAGTGGTACCAAAATGAAGCTATTATAGTATCCCATATTATAAGATGTAATAATTATGCAAATAGTCTCATTTGCATAAAATGTGACATCATTAATCATAATTTTTGCCTCTTTACAACGGTACTGCACAATACCTTGCTGCCTGAGTGACCAGTCTTAGTCATCCATGAACATAAATGAATTTGAATGTATAGGTACATTAATTTTGAACATATTTGCAATTGAAAGTTTTGGAAAAACATTGTCAGACACTAAGTTATAACACTTCACATGGTCATATTAATAGTTAATAAATGTTGGCCAATGCTACTACCACTAAGCAAGATATAAAGAGGTCTGGTTAGTGCCTGTGCACATAGTAAATTGAGGTATTGATATTTAATGTTTTATTGTTGGATATTTTTAGCTCATATGGTGAGCTATTGCAATCACTCACTTGTTTCGTCTGTCTTTCCATCTGTCTGTCTGTCAACAATTGGCCAGTTTTAAAACCTGGCTCCTGGTTCAAAAGCTCGCCTATTTTCAAAACGGTTGCCATTTTTGTCTCGCGAAATTCACTTTTGGCCCATTTCCTAGCTTTATAAATAATTTCAGTTGTCCTGCATTGTAAAAAGCCATGTCACTCTAAAGAATAGTTTTATGAAATAATTTTGCTTCAAAAAATCACATCCATTTTTTTTCGGCCATTTTAGCCATCATTCACTTTTGAGCAACACCATGTGAGCCCAGTACCCACGGTACTATTTATTTATATTAAGTATTGTTGTTGTATTATTAAATGTTTTTATTGATTTTTAAGTACATATACATGTAGTATTGATCTCAAACATGTCATGTTTTGAGCAGATGTTTCATGTATTTTAGAATTGGCGTACCAACATGCCCAGTGATTATCCATACTATTTGATTAAGCCTATCAAAGAAAATCCACACACGTTATATTATCTGCCCGCGAGTCAGAAGCTACATATGAGCTCATTAAGAAATAATCAACATTACTGTGTAATAAATAATATATTCAGGAGAGAATTCATTTTTATTTTTTCAGTGTGCAGTACTAATGACTGGTGTAGTTGCATTTTGTGTCAACCTTTCTATATTCTGGATAATTGGAAACACATCACCTTTAACGTATCCTTACAGATAAAGTTTAAGTGTTTTCATAAGCAAATGTAAAATACCAACTTGCATAAGTAGTGTCTGGTGTGGTTACAAGACATCAAACACTTGACAAAATAGTTATACTATGCCTCTTGTACAGAGAAGGCCATGTTAATTTAGTAGTGTTTAAATTTGCTCATGAATTGTAGATGATAAATTGAGGGATTGAAACAACTCATTAATTTACCTTGGCCTAATCTATATAGTTAAATGGGAATTGGTACCAAAGATCCAGCATTTCTATTCCTTGTATGGATGGACTAAAATAGGTCATAAGGTCATTTAGTGCCTCATTTTAGGTACATTTAGTATCACACATTTTGAAATATTGTACATCCAAAGCAGTCTAAATGAATTAGATCCTTGATGACTTGAATGCAGTTCCAAATGATCACACAGATGCTTTGTTTACTTTGATGTGAGTTTTACATCATGGTGGATACATTGATGTATGTGTAAAAAGGTAAGTTTTATGAAAGATGAAATCTGACAGCTTAAACAACATGTGTATAACTAAATTGTCTACTAAGTACCAGGTAAAAAGTGATCCAAAAAATTCAGGGGTTTTCAGGATCTTCAATGAATCTTAATAGACGCCCATAATTATTTATTCCTTTAACCTGCACCAGATATAACATGGTCGGACATCTGAAGTTTTGTATGACCCTGCTAGGAGGCTACCTAATATTCAATGACCCAATTAGAATGATCCAACTTGGTGGAATATTCTTAACTCTTGGAGGTATGTATACTGTAATATATAAATCATTGACATTACACTGCTTTTTGTGCCTTTGTCAAAAAAACATTCACTGCCTCTCAATTTATGTTTGTAATATTATAAGTCACATATAAAATAATCTTATAGGGTTGGGAGAAGTTTACATTCATTATTGTTCAATGTTCAGTAATGTGTGAAGCCTATGCGCACCTCCCCAAGTTTAACATGTCTTTCAGTAAGGCTCTGGTACAAGGCTAAAATTGCTGTTTTTAACTCAAGTTTTAATATATTGGAAAAGGTACTGATATATTTTAGTATATGGAATGGATGCACTGGGATCTTGGTTGAAGGAGGGTACTACAAATGCCTGTAGGCACCTATTAGACAAAATGGCTTGATTGAAAAACAGATTTCATGAACAGTAAAATGTTTTAGATTTAAGGCCAACAATTCAAACCACAGTCACTTTTGAGGAACTGAAATGGCATAGATCCACTATGGTAAAAGATAGTGGGACATCCTGGTACAGATTTTGAGATTTTTCTATTTTGTTGATTTTCTAGAACCCTATCCATTGTTGTATCTGGCCATTTGAATTCCTCATCAGTAATAGTAGAGATCTGTACAACAGATATATTGATTGTATATGCTCATAAAAATATTTCAAGATGCTCATTTACCCAAATCTTAACATAAAACTTGATGTTAACCTGATGTATGTTTTATGATCAACTTGCCCAAATCGAGGTCATGTATATATCACTCAAGCTGTTTAAGAATAAGAACTATGAAATGATATTGTTAACATATCTTGTTTCCTTGTATTACACTTACTAACTGTTCATATGTACATTGTAGAGTGTTTGAATCTGTGTATAGACATACCTGTCAACTCTGGATTTAAATCAGGGCATCTCTGTTTATTTTGGTAATTCCCAGATATTTTAGTTCTATAAATTTTTCATTTTGTTATTCTTAATAAAGAGTTTCCATTTTTTAAATATGTACAAGTATCTAGTTTTGACTTCTGATTTTTTAATTATCCTGCTTTTGAAATAAATCTCCTTCTTAGACTTCTGGTTCCTATTTTTCTTCTTTTTTAAAAACTCAGATTTTCTGACTTTCCATATTCTTTAAAAATGTTTTGATTTGAAGAAATTGAATATATTATTTTGGTTTTAAAAAATTGAATATATTATTTTTTGTGAACCTCTCTTGAATTTTTCTAGTATTTTCTCATATTATTAAATCTAATGGTGCCCTGATTTTTCTTATTTTTAAATACTCCTATTTCCCATGTTCTGAAAAATTCTCCTATGTTTTTAATGACAAATAGTTGGCAGGTATGATTCTAATTTATTGCTTAATGTGATAGATATTATGTGATGTTACTCTCTTCATGTCCATTAAGGAACCCTGATTTATATGGTTTCTTTTTACTAATACTGAACTTAACATGGTACTTAACTAACATTTACTACCACTAAGGCTACTACTCATTATACTGTGTCAAATCAAGGACGTCTCACCCTTATAAAAAATTCAACCTTGAAAGTCAGAATTTAAATAATTATATTGCTCTTTAAAAAATATTTTTTAAATGTATGTATTTCATGCATACATGTCAGAATTTAAATGGTTTGATCAAAAAGATACTGCCAATATTATAATGAATACTAACAATTAGTTCATTGAATACTGGCAATAATGTAATGAATATTGCCAATATTATAATGAATGCTGGCAAAAGTTTATTGAATACTGCCAATATTATAATGAATGTGGCAATAGTTTATTGAATACTGCCAATAGTTCATTGAATACTGCCAATAGTTCATTGAATACTGCCAATAGTTTAATGAATACTGGCAATAGTATAATGAACATTGCCAGAAGTGTCACTTTTATGAACTCTTATAGTAGTTTGATGAACACTAGATATGGTACTTTTAATTGTGTAAATAATGTGAATGACAGAGAACATAATTTGTCATATGCCATTGAGTGGAAAACTAGTCTGGTATCGCATTCCCAAATCCATACTGGAGAAAGAAACATATCATAGTAAACTAAATTTAGTAATTTACTATAATAAACATGCATGTATGTTGGCAGAAAAATAGCCTAATATACTGTTGTTGAATAGAGGTAGATTCAAATCATTACTTAAAGATAATTTTGATTCAGGTAAAATGAAATATTTTTGGAACAATACTAATTCAGGATGGTTGCAGGGGTTGAACTATGCAATCATTGAACAAAACATATTGCAACCATTTACATTTCAATGTGAAATGGTTGCAGTTTATAATGGTTGCAGATTACAATGATTGTATAGAAATGGTTGCGCAGTCGATGAAAAGGGGTTGACTTCGCTGGGTTGATGGTTGCACATGATTGCTTATCATTGTACAATTGTTTTTCCTTTGATCTTAGTAGTTGAAACAATCAGTTTCAATGATTGAGGGAAACGGTTTAAGTTGGGACTTTAAAGGTTGAATTTTTCATAAGGGTATCTCGAGATAGACGTCCTTGGTCAAACATAAGTGAATTTTTGACACTCCACCATGATGCATTAACAAAGCACATAACATCTCTGTATGTACAAATGTACTTTATATATACAGGGTGGTCCAAAAAAAATTGGAACATTTGTTCTTTGAACACAAAACCTTTATTTTTAAATTAACTTTGTTGTTTGCACCTATAAACTTTACATCAGATAAATAAGTGATTGAACAATACTCAGTAAAATTTTGGTGCATTTTAGAGGAAAAATAACGATTTTGAGTACAATTATCAAATGTTCCAATTTTTTTTGGACCACCCTGTATGTATGTGACTTCTAACTAATACTTTCCACTATGATGAATTATAATGGTTTACTAACCTGCCTCATATGGTGCATGCTATATGTGGTAGCAGTCTAATCCCTTGGGTTGTCTTCCTTTTGTTGATATTTTTTCCCAAAACATGCATGTGGACGTTTTCAATTAAAAGGGCTCTGTCTGTAATTTTTGAAATCGTTGTTTGTTATATTGAATCAAATCATCCCAAAATGTTTAATTCATGATTATCTGAAATGTGCACCATCAATAAACTTTGATACAAATCTCATTTTCTGAAAATATGAAAGCCTAAAAAATTCCCTGTTTAGTTAGCAGTATGACAAGTCCAAATTTAATGAATATTTGCACCTTTATCAATTTTAAAAGCCGAAAAAGAATACAGTTGTTAAGCTTCTATAATTAACCTACAGAAAAAAGACATAAATATAAACATATTGATGGTGGAAATTACATATTTTGGGTTATTTATTTGCATGAATTTCCAGTTTTATTAGCAATATGTCAGAATCAGATATAAAGGGGAAACAATTTTTCAGAATTTCCAACCAACATGTTCAATATCTTATTGAATTAAAACAATATGAAGGTACAAGGAGCAAGTGAGTTTAATACTTAACTTGCTCTCCAAAAGGAATCATATGATTCTTTGCATTACTCCAATTTGCGATAAGAGTTCAGTTGGTAATTTACATAAATATCTCCCATGATGCATCGCTTTGGATTAGTGGTGTCAATTAACTGCTTGAGCATTAACCGGTTAACCGGGTGTTTTTACCGGTTAAAGTCGGTTAACCGGCGGGAAATTTGAACTGATAATTTAAAATGAAATCTTCATCTTCGATCTTGAAAGTTGAAAAAATTGGAAAAATGATATATTAGCGTTTATTTTTTACGTTCCTCAAGCTTTACTCTATTCTATTCATACACTACCTGACTACTTGTACCTCTAAATTACTTACCACACTGGTTTACCCTTGGAATCTCCACGAACGCACCATAACAACGACAATTGCAGCTGATTAGTGTTTATTTTAATTTTAATTTTCTCACTACCAATTGCGAGGCTTTGACCTTTGACATTTTGGCGACGTTGATAGACAACAATAATATAAAAACTGACGAATTAAAAAATGCATATAATTTATTTATGAAATGAGTTTGTAAGGAATAATCTGGCCTATGAGTTGATTACACATGGCTGACACTTGAAAAACAAACAGATTAACATGCAAAGTAATCGCGGTAAAGCAATGTGGCAGGGATTAAAGTTGCTGATTGGATGTTTGTAAGGAGTTATTGAACCTACATGTATCACATGTGAGTAGCTCACATGAAACTGACGCTTGAAAAACAAACAGATTAACATGCAAAGTAAGCGCGGGAAAGCAATGTGGCAGGGATTAAAGTTTCTGATTGGATATTTGTAAGGAGTTATGGGACTTATGACATGTATGAGTAGCTTACGTGAAACTGACACTTTAAAAGCAAACAGATTAGCATGCAATATAAGCGCGGGAAATAACAGAATTATACACGGTCAACTAACCACCCATAAAAACACAGACCGGTCAAGACATTATCGGCGGTTAACCGGTTAACCGGTTAATACTTGACACCTCTACTTTGGATGGTACAAATTTCGTTGGCCCGTCGAACAAGTTGATTACTTTGAACGAAACGTCCGGAGATTGCAAAGTCAAAGGCCATGATCCGCTAATTTCATTGGTCGAATGATTACATCATACCGTATAGCATCAATATGGCGGACAATTACTCAAACAAAATTTCAACAAATTCTGATAAAACTAGGGTGAATCTGACAAAATAACAGTTTCTCAGCTTCTGATCTTCCATGAGCCCTCAAGCATAGTTATATGATCCAATCTATTCAATAATCAGAAAGATAATTGGAGATTCAAAGTAAAATTTTTAATATTTTATTATGTTCAATGGTGTCTGAGCAATTTCTGGGAAATCACTGTGACGTCACTGGAATTGGACAACATTTTCAACTCCAAATCTAGATTTCTTCGGCTTTGGGGATTATAGTTCAAAAAGGCTTGTTGTATATCTTAATTACATACAAATCAATCGTTTGTGCAAATGCAACTCTACATAAATGTTTAATAAAGCCGCAGTGCATTGAAAATCGCACCCCTGTGTAGTCCCATAGGAAAGAACCAGGATGTAGACGAAGTTGTACCCTATATGAGAGCTCTTAAAACTTGTGTAACTTAACTGAACTAAACTAAACTTTATCGCGTATTGGAGTATTGCAAAATTATCTTTTACAGACCAACTTAAATGATTTCTTCATAGATTTGAAATACAATACTAATACACTAAAACAAGCTTTAGAATACAGCTGCTGATTGTGTCTCAGAAAATCCACTGATTTTGCATTGGAATATCTTTTAGGCTAATTGTATCTTGATTTCTCCCTTGCCTAGAATGAAGCCTTGTGTCTTAATTGTGTCTTGCCTCTCCCATTCCTCTGACCCTATAATGAAGCCTTGTGTCTTAATTGTGTCTTGCCTCTCCCATTCCTCTGACCCTATAATGAAGCCTTGTGTCTAAATTGTGTCTTGCCTCTCCCATTCCTCTGACCCTATAATGAAGCCTTGTGTCTTAATTGTGTCTTGCCTCTCCCATTCTTCTGACCCTATAATGAAGCCTTGTGTCTAAATTGTGTCTTGCATCTCCCATTCCTCTGACCCTATAATGAAGCCTTGTGTCTTAATTTTGTCTTGCCTCTCCCATTCCTCTGACCCTATAATGAAGCCTTGTGTCTAAATTGTGTCTTGCCTCTCCCATTCCTCTGACCCTACAATGAAGCCTTGTGTCTTAATTGTGTCTTGCCTCTCCCATTCCTCTGACCCTATAATGAAGCCTTGTGTCTTAATTGTGTCTTGCCTCTCTCATTCCTCTGACCCTATAATGAAGCCTTGTGTCTTAATTGTGTCTTGCCTCTTCCATTCCTCTGACCCTATAATGAAGCCGTGTGTCTTAATTGTGTCTTGCCTCTCCCATTCCTCTGACCCTATAATGAAGCCTTGTGTCTAAATTGTGTCTTGCCTTTCCCATTCCTCTGACCCTATAATGAAGCCTTGTGTCTAAATTGTGTCTTGCCTCTCCCATTCCTCTGACCCTATAATGAAGCCTTGTGTCTAAATAGTGTCTTGCCTCTCCCATTCCTCTGACCCTATAATGAAGCCTTGTGTCTAAATTGTGTCTTGCTTCTCCCATTCCTCTGACCCTATAATGAAGCCTTGTGACTAAATTGCGTCTTGCCTCTCCCATTCCTCTGACCCTATAATGAAGCCTTGTGTCTAAATTGTGACTTGCCTCTCCCATTCCTCTGACCCTATAATGAAGCATTGTGTCTTCTTTCCTTGCCTCTCCCATTTCTCTGAACCAAAACTGAAGCCTGGTGTCTTGTGCCTTGCCTCTCCCATTCCTCAGAACCAAAAATGAAGCTTGTCTCTCACACACTCTGACCCTATAATGAAGCTGTGTGCCTTGTACCTTGTCTCTCTCATACTCCCAACCCTATAATGAAGCCGTATGTCTTATGCCTTGCTCTTCCACACTCTCACCCTGTAATGAAGCCGTGTGCCTTGTACCTTGTCTCTCTCATACTCCCAACCCTATAATGAAGCCTTATGTCTTATGCCTTGCTCTTCCACACTCTCACCCTGTAATGAAGCTGTGTGCCTTGTACCTTGTCTCTCCCATACTCCCAACCCTATAATGAAGCCTTATGTCTTGTGCCTTGCTCTTCCCCACTCTGACCCTGTAATGAAGCCTTATGCCTTGTACCTTGTCTCTCCCTTACTCCTGACCCTATTATGAAGCCTTATGTCTTGTGCCTTGCTCTTTCACACTCTGACCCTGTAATGAAGCCTTATGCCTTGTACCTTGTCTCTCCCATACTCTTGACCCTATAATGAAGCCTTGTGTCTTGTGCCTTGCTCTTCCACACTCTGACCCTGTAATGAAGCATTGTGTCTTCACTCTTGTCTCCCCCACGCCTTTGACCCTAATGTGAAGAGAGCTAACATGCATGATTCTATTGCAGGTGTTATAACTTATACACACTTCAAAATGCAAGAACAAAAAGCCAATGCTTTGCCTACTACAGCTGCCATATCTGATGAATCAAATATAGGGTAAAACATATTATTATAAGAGGGAGTGGGGGCCTTCTGTGTCTGTATATCATATACCATAATTGTTGCATGTTCAATGTATGCATTTAAAGCTGAACCAACTACATACTGTATGTTGAAGAAACCTTGTTTCTTTTATGAGCCATTGTTTTATAAGAATTATAGATCAGAGGCTAAATGTTTTCAAATGGGTGACATGGTGTGATTTTATCAACTTTAACTTCTTTATATTTTAATATGCTAGATCCTCTAGCTATGAAATGTCAGAACAATTCTTGATAATACTTTCTCTAATTTTTTCATGTTGAGGATCCTAAATCATTCATTCTATAGCTACTAGTAACAAAGATAATTTCTTTCATACTCCTTCAATTTTGTTTTTCGCAGTACACTGTACAGTTCAGCCTTTTCAATCATTGAGAATTGTCATTCAATCCTCAATGAAAAAATACAGTGACATTTTCTACCGCCTCAGTATTTCAGCTTTGAATGGTTGAATTTCTTATAAGTTTCGATACCAAAATGTAAAATATTATATTATAAAAGTGTCATTTCTTTTATTTCAGGGGTCCTAAGCTACAGTCACTTCAAGTTGGAGGAAGCACGGACAATCAAACTACCACTAAGTAAAAGAACTACAGATGAAAACAAAGGGAGGAAAACTATTTTATGAGTTTTTATTTTTTTATCTTGAGGGAAGTCATAATATGTCAATGAGAATTTTATGTATATCAGTACTTTATTTTAGTACATTATGTAACTGTGATATGTTACAGGTTTAGCCTTAGACTTGATTGGAGTACTTTAAAGGGTCAACCGAGACTAGAGATAAGTTTAGAAAGAGTCTGAAAAGTAGAAGCAATTTTACCATATTTTTATTAGCTCACATGGTGAGCTTTTGCAATCGCTCACTTGTCCGTCTGTCCGTCCGTCCGTCTGTCTGTCCGTCCGTCAACAATAGTGGCACGTTTTAAAACCTCTGTCGATAGGATTCCTGTTTTAAGTTATTTCTGTTCATCGTCAATACAGAAAACTCCCCTATGACTCCTGGTTCAAAAGCTCGCCTATTTTCAAAATGGCCGCCATTTTTGTCTCGCGAAATTCATTTTTGACTGGCACGTTTTAAAACCTCTGTGTCTAGGATTCCTGTTTTAAGTTATTTCTGTTCAACATCAATACAGAAAACTCCCCTATGACTCCTTGTTCAAAAGCTCGCCTATTTTCAAAATGGCCACCATTTTTGTCTCGGGAAATTCACTTTTGACCCATTTCCTAGCTTTACAAATAATTTCAGGTGTCCTACATTGTAAAAATCTGTGTCAATGTAAAGAGTAGATATATGAAATAATTTTGTTACAAAACATCAGCAAAAAATTATATCTATTTTTTATTTTCAGCCATTTTAGTTAACATTGATTTGTCAATCTGACTTGTGAAATCCACTTTTCCGTCAACAACAGTGGCACGTTTTAAAACCTCTGTCGATAGGATTCCTGTTTTAAGTTATTTCTGTTCAACATCAATACAGAAAACTCCCCTATGACTCCTGGCTCAAAAGCTCACCTATTTTCAAAATGGCCGCCATTTTTGTCTCGCGAAATTCAATTTTTACCTATTTCCTAGCTTTACAAATAATTTCAAGTGTCCTACATTGTAAAAATCCATGTCAATGTGAAGAGTAGATGTATGAAATAATTTTGTTACGAAAAATCAGCAAAAAATTATATCCATTTTTTTTATTTTCAGCCATTTTAGTTAACATCCGTCTGTCTGTCCGTCAACAATAGTGGCATGTTTTAAAACCTCTGTCGATAGGATTCCTGTTTTAAGTTATTTCTGTTCAACATCAATACAGAAAACTCCCCTATGACTCCTGGTTCAAAAGCTCGCCTATTTTCAAAATGGCCGCCATTTTTGTCTCGCGAAATTCACTTTTGACTGGCACGTTTTAAAACCTCTGTCAATAGGATTCCTGTTTTAAGTTATTTCTGTTCAACATCAATGCAGAAAACTCCCCTATGACTCCTGGTTCAAAAGCTCGCCTATTTTCAAAATGGCCGCCATTTTTGTCTCGCGAAATTCACTTTTGACCTATTTCCTAGCTTTACAAATAATTTCAAGTATCTTACATTGTAAAAATCCATGTCAATGTAAAGAGTAGATGTATGAAATAATTTTGTTACGAAAAAGCAGCAAAAAATTATATCAATTTTTTTTTATTTTCAGCCATTTTAGTTAACATTGATTTGTCCATCTGTCTCGCAAAATCCACTTTTGGACCATTTGCCTTAAACCCTCTGTCGATAGGATTCCTGTTTTAAGTTAATTTTGTTCAAGATCAATACAAAAAACTCTCCTATGACTCTTGGTTCAAAAGCTCGCCTATTTTCAAAATGGTCACCATTCTTGTCTTGCGAAATTCACTTTTGGCCCATTTCCTAGCTTTACAAATAATTTCAGCTGTCCTACATTGTAAAAAGCCATGTCACTGTAAAGAGTAGTTGTATGAAATAATTTTGTTACAAAAAATCGGCAAAATATTATATCAGTTTTTTTTATTTTCAGCCATTTTAGTTAACATTGATTCGTCCATCTGTCTCTCAGTCAGTCCAAAAAAGTGGCAAATTTAAACCTCTGTCAACACTTTTTAAATCCTCTGTAGATAGGATTCCCGATTTAAAATAATTTTGTTCAACATCAATAAAGAAAAAAAACCTGTGACTCCTGCTTCAAAATCTCGCCTTATTTCAAAATGGCCACCATTTTGTCTCGGTAAATTCACTTTTGGCCCATTTCCTAGCTTTACAAATAAGTTCAGGTGTCCTGCATTGTAAAAAGCCATGTCTTTGTAAAGAGTAGTTGTATGAAATAATTTTGTCACAAAAAATCTGCAAAAAATTATACCCGTCTTTTTTATTTTCACTTTTGAGCAACACCATGTGAGCCCAGTACCCACGGTACTAATTTTATTTACTTATACATGCCATTTCTTTACTCTAAGCATGCTATTTTCTGGCTCACATTATCTACCAAAAATTGAAAAATTGATTTTTCAATGATTTTTTCTATATTTGATCAGATATCTCATTTCTCAGAAAATAAAATTAGGGTTGCATGGGAAAAGATTGGCATGCTTTTTGAAAAAATTGCTTCTGACAATTTACACTCTAATCTTTGCTGTTCCTTTAAGTACTCGGTTTGTCTATTGATTCCAGCATACCACCTGTCTAATACTGAAAGGAAATGGATCAAATATTTTTTATTATTTGTATAATATTATTCGTATTATATTATATAGTATCATAGATGATCTTCTATGAGTACCTGCATATTGTGATTGATAAAGAATGAAAAATGGTTGTATTTTATGGGGTAAAGATGGTTGAATCTTAGTTAGTCATACGAGAAATTATACTAGTGTATTAAATTAGTCTAGCAAAATGGAAATATTTTCTGTGGAAACGATCAAACATTTACCTGCTGAAAAATAGATTTTAATATATTGATAGTTTTGAATATCTAAAAATGCATACTACTAATATTTATGTAGATCCATTTTCATAACATAAGTAGAAGTTAATTAGATTTGTCGTATATTATTTAATTTATATTATTTGATTGTATTAATCGTATTCTTCTCAAGGGTTTGATATTGTTCACCCTGTGTTTTGTTGTTTATGGTGATATGCATGTATTGGTTTAAGAAATACATGTACAAAGATAAGGCAAGTGATATTTCTCATACATTCCAATGAAAATGCAATAAGAACAATGTTCATAAATTGCATACATACCATTATGTACCATTACCATCGCAGTGTATGGTAATTAAACAATATTGGCTACTCTACTACAAAGTTTTATAGAGTGTCAAAAATTGAGCAAATTTGGTTGAATCTTTTACTTCAATTATTTAATTATCTTATATTTTCTTTGGGGTACACTCTAAACTTGGTACAGTAGTTACAAGTGAAACTCAACTGTTTGGTGCAATATATGTTTTGCAATTACACGAGTAACTGCACAATGCATACGATATATTCAATATATTGTTGTTGTATTTGGGGATATCTATACCAAGAGTTAATGTTTAGAGGTTTATTGGAGATTCATTGAGGCCTCAAATCTGATCCAATATATATGGAAATACTTAAAAATGTAACAACCATTTTAATTTTTTTGAAAATAGTGTGATATTTATCACTATGTGTCATGTAAAAATATCAGCAATAATATAGAAAAAATCACAAATATACAAAGAATGTCAAATAAAAGATCCCAACGAAATAACTGTTCAATATGATCTAGAATATACTGAACATTTAGTTGGAAAATCTCTCCAGTTTGTTAAACCTTACATTGTAAATGTAAAGGTACATGTATATATAAAGAGCCTTCATTGCATTATTTTTACATTGATTGACTTGAAATTTTTATATTGACTTAAATTGAGTTGAAGTTTTTATGAGTGTTAATAAATTTTTGGCAATATATGTTACCACTGGTTACTTGGGTCTCTAGCCAATGAACTTGGACTAGGTTACAGAGGAGTCTTTGGAAAAAGGCTCACCATAAGAGTGTATGAGGGGTAAGATTTTGGAAACATGGCATGAAATCAATGAACAATGAGCTATAACTGAAGAGGTTAAGGTTAGACTGACTTGAAATTACAAAATGATGAGATGCTAAGAGTACTAAGATGTTGGCCGTTATCTGTTTCCATGGCAACAAATCATAGGACTTATTTTACAGTGATAACTTTAGAAATTATGGTCTAGTGGTCAGATTAACTCCAAATCCATACAATTATTACTCATATAACTTTAGAAAACATGGTCTAGTGGTCAGATTAACTTCAAATCCAAACAATTATTACTCATATAACTTTAGAAAACATGGTCTAGTGGTCAGACATCTTCACATTTTTGGCAGTATTGGTTACCATGTTATAAAGGGTTTACTATGTAATTCTGTGTGCATTAGGGTGGCGGCAATTTAAAAATGGCTGTCTATAAAAATAAATTGTAAATTAACATTACTTACTTTTGTGTACCCAGTTTATCATTTATCATGTGTTTACATACTTCATTAATTAATTCAAAAATAGTTACAGTAAAACCTGTCCGATGGAATACCTCTCTGTAGGGAAAACCTATGAACAAGGAATGCTTTTCAAAAGAACCAAATATTTTTCCATTGACTTACATGTTAACGGACCCTCTCTGTAGGGAAAACCTGTGAACAGGGAACAAGGAACACTATTTTGGGGCAAATTATGAAAATTCACCTGTGAACAAGGAATATGGTATATTGGTGACACTGTATATTCCATTAATTTTCAGAGGTGTGAAGGTCTTACGCCAATATCTGATTCTAAAAAGCTTGGATTAATATGATTGAGATAAGCCAATTGTTTACACGGTGAAGCATCCCACCCACTGTTAATTACCCTGATATATTTTAAAACTAATACTAATCTGTCACTTATTATCATAACACTAATTCTTCCTTTCAACAAACCTAATTACATCTAATCAGTTGTGATAATCTAGGGACTGACACAATTGTTTTATGGAGATAACAGATAAGTACATGTGTCATGTTGAGCCAAATCTATCAATAATTACAACAACTAGACATCATCATACGCCAGCATCAGCGGCTAAAATCAACATCGGGAGAATGCTCCTTACCCTCAGCTAAAGGAGGGAGGTGGGAGACCTTCATCTTCCAAGATGTCACAACAAGGTCTAGCAACCAAGTATGGAGTTGGCATTGGTAAAATGAATTAATGCTCAAATATATACAAAAATGCTTATTCTGCAATTCTGAGTTTGCTGAAAGTGCGGCCCCTCTCTATAGGGAAACCCTCTGAACAAGGAAACTTTCCTCCAGTCCGAAGAGCATTCCATGTTCACAGGTTTTACTGTATTTTCAAAATTAAGTCTTCTGTATAAATCAAGTGAGCTATATAAACAGATGATATCAAGGTTTGCCCATTAGGTCTTAAATAGTCTTTTAGAGAAATATATAGGCTAGTGTGCTCAAACTATCCTGAAACTTCTTCCTGACAAAAATAGTAAATAACCAGGCAGTAGTATTGAAAAAATATTGTCCCTTTTTGGCAAAACCTACACCAATAAGGAATTTGGTTTCATAGGCCTATCATAATTTCCCTCTTGAGTAGAGGTCCTATGGCCTTGAGACATAACCGTATAACATTTTGCTCAAAACACGATACTGGTATTTGCATTATCATAAAATATTTTTCCTGGAAAATGTCAGCTATTTTGAATTCAGCAACCATCTTGGGAATTCCTTGAGCAGTCCTAATTTCCCACTGCATCAGAATAAGAACGGATAGGTAGTGATATGGTGGACTGAATTCAACATTGTTTTTCTCTTAAACCAATCATTGAAAACATTCTGTAAAAAACACGATCCTTTATGTAATGGTCACTGATTGACAACAATTTAATTTGAAAATTATATATATTTTATATTATTGTTTTTGTGAAATTTTTTTTGTTCTTTTCTACCAATTTTTGAGAATGAAATAAAATATCTATCCGAACCTTGTTTGGATAAAGTAGCATATACAACATTTTCTTAGACCTCTCAATATCATAGTTATACAAAGGAAAGTTTGGTTCATTAAAAAAAGTATCCAAATTGATAAAAAATTAAAGTATACCTTTTATTTCATAATAAGATACTAAGGTACCCAACTTAACTTTCCTTCGTAAAATTATTGAGAGCCCTTAAAGCGATGTGTACTGTATATGTCATTTTGTTCCAACGAGGACGGTTCGAATAGATGTTTCATTTCGTTCCGAACATATGGTACCAAGAACAAAAGAAGTGTCTGATATGTTTTCTAAAACTATATATATAGAAAAGTAGATGAAAATTTTACAAATTAAATTGTTACCAATTATTCGAAAGACGACCATTAAACTGACACGTGTAATTTTTTCAGATTTTTTTATGATTGGTTTAAGAGAAACATGTGTTCAATTTTGTTCACCATATCGCTACCAAGCCTTTGCAGCAAATCCGCTAACTGGAATATGAGTTCATAAAGATTACTCTAACGTAAAATGGTGGCCATTTTGAATTCAGTGGCCATCTTGAAAATTCCTGAGGGGTAGGGGTGACACTTAAAGTGAAAAAAGTAAGAAAAAATGTCTTGAGTGTACCATTATTAAAACTAACGTACACGTAATTATGTAAAAAGGAAGTTTAACTGATAGCTTCAAAAATCTTCAATACTTCCTAAATCATCATTTTATCAAAGAAATAAAGAGTTTATATTTTTGCTGTGAAATCATTGCCGCCCCAAATGTTCAAATGAGGATAACGTCATACCTTAATCCAAGAGCTTCAAATTCAAAAACTAATCCGTGGACTGACAAAAATTTAGATTGAAAATGGTCGATTTTTCAGGGGTGAACATATTATACCCACACCTTAATGAACTTAGGTTAGACCCTTATTTGAATGGCATATTTAAAGCCTGGGGCCATAGCGTCATTTTTTTTTACTTATATGTGTCTTCCACCAACCATGCCCTTTTTACATTTTAAATATTCCAAAAGATCATTTATTCCATAGAAAGGTTCTATGTACAGAACGACTCATTTAGTGTGAAACATCAACATTGATTGATGGAACATTATGATTTCACTCTTCAGAGAATATGATTTATCAATATTTAAAGAAAACATAAAAAATTGTGAATTTTGTTTTTAAATAAAGTCGCGCAACTCAACATGTAGTCCCTCGATTTTGTTATAATGACGATACGAGTCTACGTCAAAGTAATAATACATTGGTAATATTCAATATCAAGAAGATCTGCTTCTTGCCCAAACTCGTCCTTTAATATAGGTAGTTCCTCCATTTTGTTATTTTGACTAGTTGGGCATGGGGAACAACAGTAAATCTTATCCTCATCCTTACATAGTTTAAGATTAAAAAAAAGTTAACCAAATGCATAGCCTATATCACAAATTAAATCAAACACTACATTTTTCAAACACTATGTGCCAACTTTATTTATTTACTTATGAGTCACGCTTTGTTAAAACAATGTTTAAGTAATCAAATCAGGCACGTTGCCAGGATTTGCCGAGGGGGTTCACTTTTCCCAAAAATTCCAGGGGGATTCACTTTGGCAAAGGAGAGGGAGTTGTTTGTAGAATGAATCGCAGGAGTTATATCATGCATTTCGCGTATGTTTTACATCCAAAAAAACATCAATGCACACATCAATAAACATTTTATTGACTTTAAGATTGCACCATATAATACCCAAAAATATTTCTCATTTTCAAGGATTACATGTATCTATCGATTAACACCCAGGCATTTTCATTTTCAAACTTCAGAGGACTGGAAACCATTGATCATATTCGCTTTTGAATAATATAGATGCTGTTTTATAGGTTAGATAGGATAACAGGAAAGTAAATCTTTAATACACACCTTATTCGGTTGTTTTGGTTTATATCGCAACACAAAAAGGTGTATATTAAAGATTTACTTTCCTGTTATCTCAAAATCTGCTTGGAACTGTACCATTGGATAATTGGAAATTCCTCAAAGAGAAAATTCTAGGGATTAAGGAATGTGTACCATTTATAAAATTCGAGAAATTATTGACATTCATGGAATCTATATAAAACAACATTTATATTATTCAAAAGCGAATATGATCAATGGTTCCCAGTCCTCTGAAGTTTGAAAATGAATATACCTGGAATTTAATCCATGGCCATAGATAATCCTTGAAAATGAGATATATGCTGCAATCTTATAGTCAATTACATGTTTTGAAGTGTATTGATGTTTTTTGGATGAAAAACATAAGCGAAATGCATGAAAAAACTCCCCCAATTCATTTTACAAACAGCTCCCCCTCCTTTGGCCCAAAATCACGAATTTTTGGCCAGGGAGGCCGACCCCCCCCCCCCCTCCCCCTCCCAGCTACGGGCCTGCAAATAATTAGGTATTTGTATGCGTTGTGCTCTGTTTCAGTTTATTTCGGTGTCTTTCGTGGCTGCAGACTCAATAGTGTCATGTGCTCAAATTGTAAGCTGTTACTGTGCTACACACTACCCTTTCCCCATACTGTAACCTAGCTGTATTTCTTAAAAGGGATACAGGCTACAGTGAAGTCGCAAATGGAGCGTGTATTCTCTATCTTTGCCTAGAGGGCTTTTCTGGTAATAATACAATGTAAACTGCTCGATGAATCTACAATGTAAAATTGTAGAACATTTGAAATATACTGTATGTGAAATCTAGCATACCTTCAAAAATGTGGAAATAAACAAACGCCCTTCATTTTCAACTTCATTGTAGCCTGTATCCCGTTTAAAGAAATACAGGCTACAGTATGGGGGTAGGGTAGGGTAGGGTAGGGTAGGGTAGGGTAGGGTAGGGTAGGGTAGGGTAGGGTAGTGTGATATATAAAATAATATAAGTGCAATGGTTTTATGAAACGGCTATAAAATATTTATTTAGCTTCGGAACACTGAAAAGTCCGCAAAGTCTCCTTTTAAACGATCAATATAATATGCACTTTCTGAATATTTGAAAGCATAAAAACTCTTAAAGACACACACACCCTTTAACAGTTTTTACTCTGTTTGATAAATTTGTTAGAGCAACCGATTATATCTGGCTAAAAATGGAAAGAGGCATACAGAGGGTGGAAATGTCGGCCATTTATAGTTAGTCACAATTGCGGTCGCATTTGCCAGTAGATTTGTAGGCTTTCAAGATGACCTCGGCCGCATTGCGTGCGCTTTCTGAAGCTTCGTCGTTACAGGACTCGGTTGTCTTCTCAAGGCACTCTTCATAAGCCCCCAGAGCATCACACGGTGGCGTCAAAGTTAGGATGTCATTCAGGAAGTCCTTGTCACATTTCAAGATGGCCGCTTTACTACATGGCAGCTTCTCAATGTGCACATCTGGAGATACAATATTTGATATATCATTATTCGGAAAATCTCGCATTCAGGTTTGAAATGATATGACGTGCACGGATCTGTAACAGTTGTCAAGGCGTTTGCTCATGTTCGGAATTGGCGAACGGCCAAACTTGCTTGCTTTTAGGGAAATGATGAAACCTCTTCAAAGGAAATGTTAATCTACTGTTAAAGGAAAATGGCGAAATCTTCTCAAACGAAAATGGGGAAGCCTGCTCGGAGAAAACGTGCTTTCAGAAAAAGTGACAATTTTGAGGTAACTGATGGAACCTGTTCTGAGGAAAATGGAGAAACGGTTCTGTGGAAAATGAAGAAACCTGCTCTGTGGAAAATGGAGAAACCTGTTCTGAAGAAAATGGAGAAACCCTGCTCTGTAGTAGAAAATGAAGAAAACTGTTCTGAGCAAAATGGAGAAAGCTGCTTTGAGCATTGAGGGATTCACAGCCCGAACTATCTCTTGGAGCATTAGATAAAGGGAACTCTGATAAATAAAGAGTGCTGTGTAGATTAAGCTAAGTAAAATCGTGAAACACTTTTATCAGAGACATACTGTAAAATGTATGCATTATTAGAGCGCTAATAATACAAATCAAATGTAAGCCATATGCAATTCTAGCAGGTATAACTGATATAAAATGCAGTTGTGGAACATCTCTATCGTGTCTTTTCCAATGTTCTTATAATCTCATTCACATACCGTTGTCATCATAATTTATGTCGATGTAAGGACATACGCCGTCATCGCGTGAAGTCAGAACCATGTGACGTAGCGTCGCAGCGAAGTTTTTCGCGTCATCCAAATCACATGTTTTACTCCTCTCCTCAACACAATCTCCATAGTCCTAAACGTAAAAAACTCACTATGTATTTTTGATCATTACAATTGAAATATGTTTAGTAATTACACGTAAATGAAGTCAATGGTATTAAAATTAATTCAATTCCAGATGATCCAGATCTCGTACCAGTCTATGACAAACTTTTTTTCCGAAAAGGTTGCATTATTCGACACGAGCAAATTGTACAGAATTTTTATGTATTTCAAAGTATCGATTATATTTTGGGGTTTTGTTTACCTGGAGGGCCCCGCACATGGACGCCTCACTTTCATTCCGTGCATGGGCAAAGAGCAGGAAACTACCTCCACAATCTTCTAACATTGCAAAGTGGCAGTTGGTGTCTAGAAAATGTAGGGTATGTTTATGTTTATGTTTATGTTTCTTTATTTGGACCATAAATTGATCATACAAATACATACTGGTATATATTAAGTAAAATAAAATAATATTACAATTTTACAGTGATAGTAAAGGTTGGTGGTGGTGTACAGAACATGTAATTATATGCCCCTTGGGTTTGATGATTGCTTTAATGCATCCCTGTGCATTTCATAAATAGCATGTATTGTCCTCAATATTAATAGACAGTCCCTATCTCCAAACTGACTACTGTCCAGGATAAGTCTTATCTTTTCTAAATCAGTGCCATATAGGTTACTGTTCTCAATAATATTGTTTAATTGATGACTTAAATGCTCAACTGCCTGGCAGTGAAATAATAAGTGTTGCAGTGTCTGCACTGCCCTATGACAAAGTGGACATGTCTCACTATCTTTATATTTTTCGCAAATGAGTGATGAGTTTCCACACAAAAGTCTCACCAGGGTTATACATGGTCTAATTAGGTATGGGTCATTTTTTGCCAATATCCACCACTTAATGGGTTTGATAACCTTAACAACATTTCTGAACGTACTGAGAGACCTGTACATCATACAACTAGACCTCCATTTTTCCAACTCATGTCTGTGCAACACATCCTTAACAATACTTTTCCACTGTGATTTCGAGACAGATACTCCATAGAAAAGCCATTGCATTACATGATCTATTAAGTTGAACCTTTCAGCTATGTTAAGAATATCCCAGATAGGAGAATGACAATTGTTCTTTTTGTGGGTAAGTGTGCTGTTCAACCATTGACACACTCTTATGATGGCAATTTTCTTATAGACTACATCCACTGGTAACATGAGTAACTGCCATAAAAACATGAGCTTTCTTTGTAAGATTATAGTTGTAATATTATTCCACCCTAATGGTGCTAAACATGCACTGTTTGCCGTATTAATAGGAAGACCCTGCAGTTGTTTCGCTATTTTAATATGTGTGTTTTCATAGATATTCATTTCTTTTTCAGTCAGAACAATCGCTTCTACTCCATATGTCACTGATGGCACTACAATACTCCAATATATGTTTGATGCAGTAAGGGGATTATACCTTACAGTGTCCATGGATACTAGTCCAATCCCTGCATTCATTGTCATGCGTCCAGTCCTACATTTTTCATTGACATATGGTGTATTATCTCCAGTTGATGACAAATCGACTCCAACATGTTTACACACATTGGTTATTTCCAATACAGTCCCTGATAGTGTTAGTTCCTTAGGCTTTTGTGTTTCATGAGTATTCGTGGGTGGGAAGTAAAGAACTTGTGTTTTATTTGGGTGGTACCTATATCTCCATTTTTTACTATGGTTAAATATAATATTCAGCAATTTTTGCATGTTATTAGCATCTATAGCTACCAGGGTCATGTCATCAGCATATGCTGGGCATGTAAGCTTCAAGTCCCCAATTCCAGCTCCTAGTCCAGAAGCAGCTAGATCCTCCAATAGGCCAGATGTGAATCGCATATAGAGGTACATCGACAGGACCCCGCCCTGATGGACTCCCTGTAATACATTAAATGGTTGTGATAATTTATCTCCTATTCTGATGACACATCTGTAATTATTATACCATATATTGATAATTCTCCACATTTTTCCATGTATACCCTGCTTGTAAAGAATATACATGAGACCCTGTATCCAGACAGAATCGAACGCTTTCCTCACGTCCACTGCTGTAACGTAACACTTCCCCCCTCTTTCAAGATTGTAGGCAATTGTCTCTCGGAGAGTGACAGATGTTTGTAAACACGAACAGTGTAGTTTATTACCACCTTGAAGATCATGTATATCCTTTACTCGCTTGTTTTGCATAGAGCGCATAAGTAATAATCTTTCAAACAACTTACTAAACTGTATCATCAATGTTATGCCCCTATGATCATCTTTATTAAGTGGGTCCTTCTGGCCCCCTTTAAAAAGTGGGATTAAGATTCCAATTTTAAAATATTCTGGAACATATTCTTGATATATGATACAATTCATCAAGATTGTAAGGATTTCTAATACACAAGGGCCACCATATTTTATATGTTCCGAAGTGATATTATCATGTCCTGGGGCTCTTTTAGGTTTCATTAGATGTACCGCCTGCTCTAATTCTGTATTTGTGAAAGGGTCCTCCATATTGTCATCTCCATTGCTTTTTGAAGACTCCATCATGTTAATCAGTTCATTTTCAATTTGTTGCTTGTGTACATCATCATACAGAATGTCATTTTTTGGGGTAACCAATTCAGAAAAATATGTTCTCCATTCATCCAGAATCTCTCTATCTTCATTAAGTATCTGTCCATTGTCATTTCTTATTGGGTTGGTCTTCACTGGTGTTTTTCTGCGTCTTTTCACTAGGTACCAGAATGTTTTCAAGTCTATATTATCATCATCTATCTGCTTTTGACATTCACGCTCATATTTATACCGTTCTCTCCTTAACAGCCTTCTGAATTGTTGCTTGGCTTCTCTGTACTGTTTGTATGTCTGGTTTTGTTGATCCATGGGTTTCCCTTCTTTAAGCCATTGTTTATATTTAAAACGTTTTGCATTAAGAAACTGTTTTAGTTCAGGTGACCAGAACGGCTTTAAATGTTTGTTATACCTCTGTTTTGGTATGGTGGCCTCTGCCCCAGATAGCAAAATATTACCTAAACTTCTGAAATAGTATTCTATATCTTCGTTTCTTAATGTACCATGTTCAACCTTCATGTTCAATTTTTCAATTAAGGGAGTTATCTCTGTTGTCATTTTCTGTGTATATGTGCCATTTATATCTTCATTTGTCATTTTTGACCATGCAATGCAAGGCTTTGGAGTAATTAGATTAGCATGGAGGTCCGCCATATCGATGTCAATGTTAATGTACAAAGGCAGATGGTCTGACAAATTTTCTAAACATTCATCAATAATTCTACATTCTTTGACATTCTGAAGAATAGAATTCGACACGAGACAATGATCTATATACGATCTACCAATGCCTTCTTTGACAAAAGTATATCTTGGACCTGTAGTAAAGTTTAACATATCAACACATGTTAATGAATTTTCCTGTGAAAATTTAAACAACTTTTTACCATTGGGAGATGCTATATGATCACTGCCTCTTGTCCCAGCAAGATTCCCTAGGCATCCATTCATATCACCTATAATGACAATATTACCAGTAGCAGAAAGTGTTTGTACTATTTCATGCAATTGTTCTAATACACTATCGAAACATTGACTCCGACACTGTGGTTGGGGTAAATAAACAGATAATATATGCAGATTAATTGTATTAATGCCAATAGATATACCTACTATTCTATCAGTTTTCATCTTAATATGCGATGCATTTTTAAGAGTTTTTCTGTACCCAATAGCAACTCCCCCTTGACCAAAAATCATGCCTTTATGCATAGGGTTTAGTTCACTACTGCACATGGGTAAAACTTCAAATTCACTGTTAATCATTTTAAGATCATTTGCATTATCTGGAAATAGCATGTGTTCAGACAAAGCAATCACATCAGCACTTTGCATTAAATATCGAACATAGTTCTCTCCAGTTCTAATGCCATTTACATTATACCCTATAATGGACAGACTCATCGATAGAATAATTATGTAAGTGATAGTCATCATTTTGTATGTATAAATTCAACATTAACATGTAGCTAATCAACATTATCATTTCCATAACGCCTGTCCCATCCGTTACTGTCAAAGCGGGGTGGTGTAACTAGTCTGGTGTAGCGAGTCTGATGTTGTCCTTTGTCTTTATTATTAGAACGTGATGGATATCGCTGCCATTCTCGACACTGAATGTTTGAATCGGGCCAAAAATAAGGATCTTTCATTTCTACAATTGACAATAACGGTACTACTACTTTCACCCCAATGCTATCGTCGAACATCTTTTTTCGAATAATGTTACATCTCATCACTCGAATACCATTGTCGATCAGGTGCTGCTTTACTAGGCCCATTGCTATGTCAGGTGTCACATCATTACTTACAGCAACATTGTCGACGTACATATGTATTGATTGCTCATGTTTTACACCTTTTAACTGTGGCTTTTTTTCAGGTTTAGATTGTCTCCTCGATCGAAGTTTCTGTTTTCGTGTCTGTGCTGTTTCCCATGTTGTACTCATACGGGTGTTTTGTTTTGGTTCCTTGTCATCATGCTCATTTATTATTTGTGCCCATGTTTTTCCATTGGTGCTGATTGTGTCATACATGTCACATATGGATTCATCATTTTCAAGTGTTTTATCATATTTATCACATTTGGATTCAGGATTTTCCTGCTCAACCACAACAGGTTTGACTGTATTAGGATCACACTGTACACTTTGACCTGGCACAGTTTTTGACACTGTTTTGGTTTTTCCGCTTGCATGGCTGATAACTCCATTGTCAAACTGTCCACTAACAGGCACCACTGAGTTGTTTGTATCTGAGTTCAAAATGAGCTTTGTTATTGTTAGGGCATCTCTACGACCTCGGCCTCTGCCAAACGAAGTATTATAAGTTGAAATAACTTTTGGAGTGCTAACAATATTAGGGTTAATTAGCGCATTTAAGGTCCTTTGTGGTTCATTGAGGTCAGGTATTGAAGGTGAAGAAATAGGGCTACCTACTTGTAGTGTTGGCCCTTTCAACAAAGTTCGCTGTATAGATTCCATCTGTTGTCTCATATCATCCATTTCTTCATTGTGTTTCTCCTCAATCTTATCCATTTTATCTTTTAGTTCAACAATAGTATTCATAGCCATTGCTAGTTTAGCGTATAATTCCGTGACCTTTGATCTGAGAGGCTTCATAATATCATCCTTCAAACTTGGCAATGTTGACAGACTTTTACTAGATAATATAGTTTTGGGGAAATCATCATTATCACAGTTATCTGATATATATGTAAACATATCATAGATATCCACAGCAATATTAGCCATCTTTCCATCTCCAGTTCTATTCACTAGTTTCAAATCTGGCTGCCTATATTCCTCATCTTTTATTTCATATAGGGCTATATACTGTTCCTTTAGTTTTCTCTTAGACAAAGAGAATAATCTTTCTCTGGCAGATTTTAGGTCCTCTTCATTATCGATTTCGTATATAAGATTCTCCACTACTGTACTTTTTGGTACAGAATCACATGTATCCAATATTGTTCTGATATTTGTCTCCAATACATCCAAGGTAACAATATTTTGGGAGCTCCCTAAAACACAACCACCACTTTCGGCCATTTTGATCTAAATGTAGGGTAAATGTAAGGTTATTTAAACAGAAATAAAAATTCTGACGCCAGAGCATATATTCTCAGAATTGGTTGCTAAGAATTTAGAAATTTTTGACAATATCAGTTCCCTTTAAATGTATTCTTGATACAGTATATATCCATTCTGATACTCAGACCATCTCTGCAATGCACAAGAATGCTCTAGAAGGAAACTGAGTCAATGTGTCAATGGGGATTTAACCACCCGACCTTTATAAGAAAACTTGAAAATCTTCAGAATTTGAATCAAGGTAAATAACTGTGCAAATCAAACCTTTTTGATAGAAAATTACACATAAAATTCAAATATGCCATCATATAGCAATAGTCTTAAATGGTTAAAAATATCTCCTAAAATATCATTAAAAACAAATCTTTAACGAGTTTTCAAAGCTATACAGAAAAAGGACCATTAACTCACCAGGTTTCCTTTCTTTGTTAAACTCTGCTTTCTGAAACTCTAAAAAGGTGAGTGCTTCATCGTGATCAGTGTCCAAAACTTCAAAGATCTCAGCAAGACGACGCATAGGCTGCGGGAAACATTTGAAAAACTCATTGCTACTCAGCTTGTCATTGTCATCGGAGTCGCAGTCTTTGAATATGCGTTTGTAATCGGAAACCTCCTCGGCAGATCTACGCCTGAAAGGAAAATCTTTGTTTTGGGTAAGCAAAGAGCAACCTGGCATTATTACTTCGAGTTAATCCAAGTTGATCACAAAATTTAATTTAATTGTCGATCACCGAGTTTCGGTGCATTAATGTTGTTGACGGACGCCGGACGGAAGACGAATGGATGGACAAACAGACTAAAGAATGGGCGATTATGCAATTTTAAAGAAGATGATCTGATTAATTGATTGTAATTTATTTCTATAATATTTTCTAACTTTCAATAATAATTAACATTAAATTTACTTATCATACCTAATACAATCGATATCCAAATGAAATACCTTCTTCCGTTATGATTTACGGTGTTGACGTCGCCAACGTGAACGTTGATCGAGAAGAGGGGTTTTTTGAAGCAGGCAGTAGTGACATCTATACAAATAACTGACACTATAACCATCACGATGGATGCCACGATTACCTTGCACGCCATCGTGGAATAATCTGTAATACAGAGTAAACAGTTATGCCTTGGTCACATTTGCTCCGATTTTCACTACGGCGCCCGGCCGATTGAGTATTTTGTTCAAAATTGAATTAAATATTGAACAAAGCACTCAATCGGGCGGGTGCTGGCCGATGGATCAGAGCAAATGTGACCCAGGCATTAGCTGTACAGCATCACCTGTTGTGATATTCAACATTAAGATGAAAAAAGTGGCAAGTAAAACGGGATTTATGCTGCCTCTTTTCTTCTGAAAATATGAGTACTAATGGAATATTTACAAAATGGTTAGTTCAAGAGAATCAAGAATTTGTTTGGAGGAAACACACATTGCATTGCGGACTGAATCATTCCTCCAAGGTATTGTTTCAAACTTTGCTTTAGATGTACAGCCTCGAATGCTAAGTTTAGGAAACAACGTCTTTGTCTAATGAATCAGCCACAAAGCATTTGTCAAGTAAATTCTTTTCACAAATTGCAAAATATTTTCTACGAAATCACCTAAAAGATGGAAAATCACAGTAGAACATATTTCAATGAAACGCATCGCAAGGGTCAAGTCAGCAAAGCATCAATTTCAATCTGTAGAGTCAAGTTGTTACATTGACAACCATTCAACTGATGACCTCGAGTGGTTTGTTGTTTAACCTGTTATAATGGCGTGCAGTTACGTGAAATACATGTGTTACATGTGTTCAGATTGGCTAGAATCGGACACACCTTGCCTAGCTTCATGTATGTGTAGAACTGAAACTTGAAAAAAATGAGCACATCGAAATGAAATCGCGACGGTGTATCACAATCCACATCTAACAAAATGAAGGCACTCACGAGGTAGGTTCAATTTAAGAATAATGACAGTACAAAATTTCAAATCTAGATATTTTGCAGTTAATGAATACGTACCTCTGTTTTAATCGAAATTATATACATTTCAATGCACATGTTCTTTTTGAACTGTAAAGAGACAACTGAACATCGCTTTTCTACTTGTTCTAAGTTTGAAGACGCTTGGTCAATAATTTATAATGATCTTGAGAATAAAATACCAAGGCATCCCTGTATCCCTGAATCCTGAAAATGGTATAAAATGGGTAGTAGGGGGTGCGGCGTATGCTATCTTGGGCTATGATATTTTTGATAAGCGTTTAAAAAATTTTATCAGAAATATAGATGTTAACGGTTGGAAAAAAGCAAACGAAATGAATTTAATAAAGTCCACAAATTAGATTTAAAGCCACCTTTTTAGGCCACTGAGTTTCTATCTACTAAAAATACTTTGACAGTGAGAAATTTTAAGAGCTTATAAAAACGCCTTAAAAACTGTTGTTTTGAATTTGTATATTTTGTACGTCAATCGGAAAGCAGGTACCCTTTGCATTCGTTTGACTACACTTCTTTAAAGAGAGCTTCGTCTTCGTAGTTTAACTAGACTCTGCACGCAGGGTAGAAAGCAGGCGACGTTCGATGAAATGGATAGAATATACATTATACATGACACTGATGGTTTATAGCTACATAACCACAAATTATACATCTGAAATGACAGTAATAAAATATATAATAAAAATATATTTAAGCAATTAATATACATAATATAATATAGTGTAATATTAAAATACTTACGCTATGAGCTGAGACGACGAAAGTTCTTCAGCTTGGTTGACGAGCGCACAATGAAAAACAGAAACACAACCAAATTCTTATATACACATAAAAGGGTGAATTACCCAGAATTCATAGATGGAGATAAAGATGTGTTTATCTTGGAATTCTGGGTCATTTCCTCTTTATATACCTGAATATGACAACAATAGTTCAAAGCATATCGGCAACTAATTGCAAATTCTGAGAACTGAGCCTGAGTCTTTTTATGTCCTTAATTAAATACTCTTGAATGCACGCGAAAGTGCTTTTTTATATAGCTTGTAATTGAATAGGATTAAATACATCTTTTACAAGCACGTAGTTTCGCTTCTAGGATATCATGATTCAAACTTAGGAGGTCGATAAAAACCGATTTTATAAATCATTTGCACGTTTTTGCATAATGTCAAAAACTTGAAAAAATACCTTTTCCATATGTATTTCGCTAGAAATAGCGACAACGTCATTCTATGCAAACTTGGTGTGGAAAACTTTTTGGCTTACTTTCGTAATCAAATTAATGATAGTTTCACAACTCCTACTTATTTATAAACTAAATAATGCCAAACGTGTTACCCTAGAAGCTAACTCTGGTGCTATTTGGAACGAAATCACATGTTTCAAAGGATTATAAAATGTCCTCTAGACCAATGTCACAATGTCACATGAGAATAGACAACGAGTTAAAATTCGGCATGATATAAATTTGCAAACCTATCGTTTCTATTGGAATATACCCTAATTTTTAAGTGAAATTCAACGTAGGCCTTTATTTAATGAAAACTACGTATTTCTAATAAAAATGGTTTGTTTGCCTTCTCTTGTCAGGGTCAAAAGTCACCAACCATTTAAGCACGCCATTTGAAAGCTATTTTTGTCGTATTGTATGTAGTTTTTACCAGACAACTGATATATCAAACATTACGTTAATTCTTTAAAAAGATGACGACGTGATTTTAAAGATCGACAATGTCAAGTGTTTTTTTTTTTGTTATTTGCACACTATCGGAATGCTATAATAATGTCGTTTTGAATGTCTTTTTACCAGATTGAAATTGGTCGTTTAACAAATGAGAATTCAAACATTAAACGCATTTTTTTAAAGATGACAACGTGATTTTACGCCAGACCTACAATATTAATGTTTTATCGTGACTGAAATCGTGCTGAAAAAGCGCTGAAGAAGCCCCGGCCGGGGAAGAAGCTACGGCTTAGTATAGCTATTGTTGACATAAGTAATGTACATCTAGTGGCGATTTGCCAAAATGAAATTGGTCTTCTAAAACTGAAACATCACTTAAAAATATGAATTTACAGACCACGACGACGTTACGTTTTTCATGCGCATTTTTCAACTGATTTAACACATTTTGATCACGACCTTGTAAAAGTACTTTAGTCATTGGATTCATAGTTTTTAATTTTATTTTCCTCTAATTTTGCAACTATTCATCTTTATGTAAAAGATCGACGGCCGACCACCGACCACGATTACCCGACTGTGGAGTGACTGGTCGGTCTTTTTCGTAAACCCGGCAGAGTAGTGTAGAACCTCACACTATAATGAATTTACATCTTTTTGTGATTTTTGCAACTTCATTTGACAGATGACTCCATTCCAAGCGTATAAATGTGTGGAAATGGCTTAAAATGTTCCCTAGTTGGCTAACGGGGGTTTTAGATAAATACAATTTCACCAAATACTGTTGAGACACATCTTACAAATTTCGTTCTTTGAAAATATGTTCTTTTTATGATTTCCAATTACTACATCAAAAATCGTGTGTTTTGGGGGATAATTGAAGAAATTTGTACCATTTTGGATATCCTGCGCGTAGAGTCTAGTTATAAACTACCCTGAGTTAAAGACGAATCTCTCCTTTTAAGAAACGAAGTCGAACGGATGCAATCTTCAAAAAGAATGATCAAAGGTACTTTAGTAATTATAGGCCGATATCACTTTTATCAGTTTTTTCTAAAATATTTGAGAAAATCATGTATAATAGAGTTGTTGAGTTTATTGAAAAATTCAAAATAATCTGTATCAATCAATTTGGATTTCGAAGGAATCGATCTACTTGCTTAGCTATTTTAACTTTCCTAGAAAATCTAAGGAAAGCTATTGAGAATAAACATTACAGTTAAGGGATCTTTTTGGATTTAAGTAAAGCATTTGATACGGTTAACCACGATATTCTACTTACAAAATTGAATTTTTACGGCTTCCAGGGTAAATCCTTGGATTGGTTCAAAAGTTATCTTAGTAACAGAAAGCAAACTACTTTTTTTGAACATGAATACTCGGGCATGAAAATAATACAATGTGGTGTCCCTCAGGGATCCATTTTAGGCCCCGTACTTTTCATCCTTTACATAAATGATCTAATCTCTACTAGCAATTTATTCAAATATGTAATTTTTGCTGATGATACAAATATTCTTTGCTCTGACAAAAATATTTATTCCCTAATTGATATAGTGAATAATGAATTAAAAACTGTAGATGATTGGTTCTGTGCTAATAAACTCTCATTGAACATTGATAAAACCAACTTTATGGTCTTTACAACTTCCCAAAATAAGGTACCAGATAATATTTCAATCAAAATTAGAGACTCTAACATTATTCGTGTTTTTTCAACAAATTTCCTGGCGTTATAATTGACCAAAATTTAAATTGAAAAGAACATATTCGAAAAATTGCACTAAAAATTTCAAAAACCATAGGTACTCTATTTCGAATAAAACACAAACTCAGTGTTAAATCATTATTGAATATCTATTACTCTCTTATTTATTCACACTTACAATATTGCATCCCAGCTTGGGGTGGGACTGGAAAAACACATATTGATATCTTATTAAAGTTGCAGAAAAGATTTGCCCGGTTAGTTACTAATAGTGAATATAATAAAGCACCATCATCACCTTTATTTCAACAACTAAATATACTGAAAATAAATGATATTTATAAACTCAATGTTCTTATCTTTACTTACAAATGCATCAAACGTCCATACAATTTTCCGAATGACTTATTTTGCAATTATTTTCAAGCAAATCAGCAGGTACACGACCACAATACAAGACAGACTGACAATCTTCATATTTCCAAATTTAGAACCAACTATGGCAAACGAAGTATTAAAACTCAAGCGGGAATAATCTGGAATTCAACTCCAGATGTTATCAAAAATTCAAAAACTATTTTTATTTTTAAGCGAGCCTTTAAAAGACATGTAATTAGTCTCTATGATTAGTACCCTGTACAAATTTTTAACAGATGCACCTTTTTCCATTAAGCTATTCTACATCATTAATATGTTTTATTATATCTTTTATACATCATTTTTATTTGTTTCCCAGTTTGGCATACATAATTTATACTTTGAGACACTTTGTAACATCAATAATATATGTAACTAACAATATGCCATTCTTAAATATTTTAGCTTGTGATAAGACATACACCCACTAGGGTGTCATTATCACTTATATGTATATATGTTTATATGATTTTAATAAATAAAAAAAGGGTACATATCGAACCGAATTTCAGATGATTTCGATATGACATTCTAGCTTTATTTTAAATTCTGCTACAATCAAGGTCTTTCGTCGAATACAGATTAAAGTGAGGCCTTAATTAAGAAGCCCCACGCAAAGTTTTACAAAGTCTTAAAATAGTTTTTTATTTCTTCTTTCTTGTTTTCACGAAGAAAATGTAGTTCTCAGAATTGAGGATGTTTAAGGCTCCGTTTAGCCAATGGACCGGGTAAATAATGACCTGCATTCAAAGAGAACGAGGATATTCGTAGAGTGATCTCAAATATGTTATGTAAATGTCATAGTTATCCACACGTTGATTTATGTTCACAAGCAATGTGTAAGCAAATGACATACATAATGATATCTCAGCAAAATGTTATTTATAGTAAATGAAAACACCATTGATTTGGAGAAATAAGATAAAACAAAAGAATATATTGTCCTTATGAGACATCACAAGACTGCGTCGGTGATATGATCGGTGGTAAGCATGTTATACAATTCTCAGGAAGTACTCACCTTCGGATAACATGAGAACTAACACATTAAAGCTTCCCTGGTCTTATTCATATATTTAATTAAACACCTGCATTTTCATTTGAGATATCATATAGACTGCGGACTATTCTGTAGAAGAGCTCTAGAAATGGATCTCGCTTTTCATGGAAGGTCACACATTCCAACATATTTCAAACAATTTGTATGATTATAATAGACACTTTCTGGGTAGTTGGACTTTATGTAGGGGTGGCAGAAGGCCCTCAGGCCAATTTATACCCCTACCCCAACAAAACCTTGGGGGTACTTTAATACCACCCAATAAAAATAATACTAATGCATATCAGATATTCATCGTTTTATAGTGGGTAGGGCATGCCATGGTTAGTCAGTGCCAGAAATTTCCAATCTCTGACTTATATGGTTACCATGGAAACAGTATTTATATCTCACAATCTTCTCAATTTGACCCCGTCCCAAATGTGTCCTTAAGTTCTCAAAGTGAAATATTTGCAAATCTGTTTGGATTTTGTGGCTGCAACTTTGTCAAAAGTTGAATTAATATGTATGTATTCACACTAAAGCACTAAAAACTTGATATAATGATCTCATAAATTAATAATATTTATCAAATGTAGTCACACACAACTGCTTTTAGGGAAAAGTGGGCGTGGCACTTTTTGGTACTTGTGTAATTGTTGCAGCATTAAATGAAAAATACTTATTACACTAACAACAATTGACATTTAATTAGCATCTACTAACATTGTGTAACATTGTAGTATGTTCATTATCATTATTAGATACTTTAAATATTTTATATAAGTGTTATCATGACCCTTCCCTATCATAGGTCATTAATGGTCAAATTAACTTTTAAGTCCTAGAGGTCCTTAGTCTTTTTAGCTTGTCAAAGTCGTATTCATTGACTTGAAGCTAGAATATAAATAGTTTCATTGATCAAGAGCTATGAG